TCAGTAAAATTATTGAGAATCATGATAAGTTTCAATTAAATGGAGAATAAAGTACAAATAATATGCCTAACATAGAAAGTATGGCCATTAATGAAAATTGAGAATTTGTATGAGTAGAAAGTATGAATAAATGTATAACCGCCAATAGTTTATTACTGGCACTGTTCATAAGATTGTAGCTGTTTATTTACGATTAAATTAATTTTAGTAAATAAAAAAGTGGGAAAATCTGAACTCAGAACTAAAAATTTTATTTGGTAACACTGCATATTGCATTTCACTCTTTCCTTATATAAAAGGCCAGTCTTTTACTCCTATTAGAACTAACTTAAGAAATGAACATTTCAAAATTGGTTCTGTCTAGGTGTACCGGTATTGCCCCAGAGTGTATTTAGTAGGTCTACCACGAAATACAAAACAACAATCATCATTTTAGCTTCATATTGGACCGGAGGCTACTACAAAACACACATGATGATAGTGATTTGACATAAGTCTTTACTCCGAAATGTCGAATGAATGCAATTTTATTTATGATACCAAGTATAGGGATGGATAATTCATGCACCTGGTGGTAAACGACACGTTTCTCCATGTCAGTTTCACTCAGACCTTTGAATCGCAGATCTGAAGGGCACTGACACAAGTCCCATATGCCAGCACCCTTACCCTTCGAAAACGGAACGCAGTAATGATCAATTTCTGCTTGGCGGCAAAAATAGGTAAGGTGGCAGTACTTCTTTGGACGAACTCTTTCACAAAGAGCATTACTGCTGCTACAATATGTTACAACTCAAAAACGATCTTTCAAAATCTAATGTAGATAATTGCTATCAAGATAGCAACCAAGCTGACTGTACGATTCTAGCAATTTCCTTACTGCCAGCCTTTTGCCCATTGGAGCATTTATTTTGAAGTGAGGTAAAAGAAAGCTCGAAAATATTTTAAATAAGTTTATACAAAAGAACATATAGGTTGAAAAAGGTAAACTAGCTACATACCTTGTTGTTAAATAGAAACCACGTAACTTAATGCCCGGGATTGGAAATGTGCTCCGATTTTAATTAATTATATTGTATTGGCACTGTCAATTAAGTGAAAAAGTTTATCAAAACAAAACAACCGCAGAAAACCATTATTTAAACGTCAACATGAAAAATTTGACAACTGCCAAACCGAGTTTTTTTTAATATTTATTGGCCTTAGGAGGAATGACTTCCCGTGAAAAAATATCAGAAAATTAAAGTAATTGAAGAAAAAATTACTATCTAATTTATAGAAGCAATATGGCAAGTTAGACGCTTTAGCCTATCCCAAAAAAGCGTATTACTGTTATTGGCGCTGGAACACGTACACCAAAGAAAACAATCTTCATAGTTAGGTACTGTTTATTTTCCCATGATTCATGAACAATTTGTTTCTTGAGCAGTTTAACTTTAACATAATAAATCTCTATTTATTGCTTGCAACTATAAACAAAAGAATAACTATAAAAACCTTAAAAACAACTACACTTAAGATACTAATTATGCATTAACAGTGCAGGAGGTAAATGGAGGAGGAGGACCTCCAGGATAGCCGCAGCACTGGTTTTCAGTTACCTTAGATGAAATGCGGGACAGGAGATTAGCCCCCTTTGCACAGTCACTCTATCGCACGCGCGATAGTGTCTTTGTAAAACCCACTTATCAGGGGCACGTCTATTATACATAATATAATAATCAATGATCGGAAAAAGGTGTTCCACATATAGATACATGTATGGATAGGTTTAGCCACAAGGAGCGACATGAGTTGGTAAAACCACGAAATATTAATTAATTACTTTTTCGAATTCTGAGTTTCCGGAAATGGTTTTACTGCTTCGTAAGACAAATTTACTAGCCTAGGAAGTCGAAATTAAACTTCGACTTCCTAGGTCAGTAGTTCGTCATACGGTGCAGTAAAACCATTTCCGGAAATCTAGAATTTGTAAAAGTAATTAATTAATATTTGGTGGTTTTAAGAACTCCATGTCGCTCTCTATAGCTATGTATATACATGTATCTTTAGGACTTATGCATACAGCGCTGAAGATGTTCGAAAAGCTGATTGTTGCGCTTGTATCGATTCAAACATCGCATCGCGTTGCAAGATTGAGGAAAGGGGCAGCGATAAATAAATAAATAAATAAATACACATGGTTTCTCTTACCCCAGTGTTATAATTAAACGTTCTTCTGCCGATATACATGAACTCTCTAAATCCAGTTTTTGGAATTAAAAAAGTTCTTGGAATGACGAATATGACATTTGATAACAGTTTTTAACAAATTTTTCAAATCTGTTTTACTAATTTTTTAAACGTTGTAAATATTAAAATGACCACATTATTTTCTTTCGCTCGTAAATGGATCTATCTATCCAATAGCGTAAGCAGTGTTGTCTCAACCAACGCCATTGTGCTACCATTGAGAGTACGCGCCGTAAATGCCCGTTTCACAAACGCGGGTGAAACGCGCGTTTACGGCGTGTATTAATTAGTGAAAGTGTACATGGTGCATAGTGCTGGCTACGATTGAATCTCGTTTGAATCGCGTTAACGCGCTTCATCAGCGCGTCGTCAGCGCGTCCTCTGCGCGTCTCACCTGGAACGTGGTCCTTATACGTGGATCACCTTTTTCCGACCAATGATATGATAATAATAATTAAATTTTAATCGAAATATAAACGGAAATACTTTCATTAATATAAATTAATCAGGTAAGGAGCTCTTAATGTTTAAACCAGGGGTTCCCAAACTTATTTTGTCTACTGCCCAATTTGAGAATAAATTATTTTTTAGCGCCCCCATTATTTCACTTACTTAAAAACCACTGTAACTTCAAATTAAATTAATTATTGTGAGCTATATTAGCGGAGATTAAACATTCATTCTAAACGAAACTTTTACTATAACCCGCAAGAGTTAACTTGAGACCTGAGCGCAGTAGGTACTACACAAAGGCGCGCTCAGGTCTCAAGTTAACTCTTACGGGCTACACCTGCCAATAAGATTGATTATTGAAACGCAACTTTATAGTATTCAGACAGAGTATCCTTTATTAAAAATAAAACAAACATCATCGATTCTAATATAAAAACTAATGTGAAGGATGAATCTGATGCTGTTTAATAAGTTTGTTGATATCAGGTTCCAATTTACTCAAGAACAGCCGCAAGTCACCACGTTCGGTAACATGCAAACGTTCTTTTCAGTAAGCAGCGTTTTCACAGCACTAAAACCACATTCACACAAATATGACGAGGGGAATGCTATCAAGAATCGTTGAATGATTGACTGTGGTCAATCGTTCAACGATTCAGGGTACAATTGCGATCCAGGGTACAATTGCGGGATCGGTTTTTGTAGCCAAAAGTCTTGGTAGCCATTTTTGAACTTGATTTTTATTTCCTCGTTCGTTGTCAATTCTATAAGTTCTTCTTCCAGCTGAGGTGATATTGCTGTGTTGACATTTGAAAACGGATCCAACACCCAGTCTGATATTTCCTAGTTCAAAATGTCCTGGTATCGTTCGGTGAAGTCAATGTGGAGGTTTTTCAAATGTCGGCAGTAGGCAAACAAGTCGTCGTTACTGCAGGATACTGATAAATTCGGAAAATTATGAAACTCACGTCTGCCCATATTCTTTTTGTGTAGAAGCAGTGTGGCTGCGAAAGCAGCAACGACATTCTTTGTTTTAATTAAATTTAGTTCATCGCCTTGCAGTTGGAGATTCATATCGTTGAACAATTTATGAAGGTCTGTCATGTAAGCTATATCATAGCCGGAGCGCCATCCGTAGCAAATGATATAATATTTTTCAAGGGAATCTCTTTCTCATCACAAAACTTTTCCAATGTATTGAATATGGTTTAAATTTAAATTTCTAGCAAACAATAGTTCTTCACATATCATATTTTCTCATCTTTAATAAACCTGACATAAGACAGCAACAATGCTTCATTAGTTGATAAAGTGGAATGGTCACGGTTGACTGTGGTGGTGCAGTCTCTGAGGGTACCACCTCAGTCAACCGTGACAATGGGACCTGTAAAGGGCCCGAAACGTCGGTTTGTTAGAAAAAACAAATATACGCGATTTAAATCCGGAAAAATAGTTTCATTTCCTATGTGCAACAATTGCGAAAACCTAAGAACTCGATACGTAAATAAGTGTTGAACTTAAGTACTGCTTATCTATAACGCGCGAAACCGCAAATGAAAATAAAATAAATATTACGTTATTTATATAGGATTGCATAAGCAGCACGCACAGGAATAAGACAAACATGCATAAACTCATTTGTCTCATTCGACGCTTAATCGTACTCAACAAGTAAGAACAAGTATTCTATGAACCAGCCGATTGATACAGGAATGCACAAATCGGGTTATTTAACAAAAACTTTTTAAAACATGATTCCCGCGGTTTATTATGTACGAAAATTACCTATCTAGGAATACTAATAACTATTAAAATGCGAAACTGTATCTGTTGCCTTTTTATTTGTTTGTTTGTGTCTACTTTCATTTCGAAACGGAGCGGCCGATTGACATGATTTTTATTTTATTTACCTATTCAATAAAACAGGACAGATATATGAACTACACGGAGAGAAATATCGAACCGAGTTAGTTTGAGCAATCTCTTAATTAACATTAGCTGATGTTCACAAGTTGTAGTCGAGAGCTCAGTCGGTGTCTAAGAGTCTTCCTAGATGAAATTACAAATCTCCCCCTAAGCCTCTACACAATGCCCCCATTTTTTTTCTTCGTCTCTTACCCTTTAGGCTTGCAGCGCCCGCAATGGGGCGTTATCGCCCACTTTGGGAAAGGCTGGTTTAAACAGTTTCCCAATGCTTGTCATGTGCGATTTAACGAATAGACGTCCTGTGAAACGACTAAGGGTCCTCGGAAATACTTTTTTGCGTTGTTTTTAAACAGCGAATTTTTATAAATAATATACTGAAATAATTTCAGGGCAAACAATGTGTACAAACCACATATGCGGCGATAGAAGTGTATGTAGACCCGAACGTGAAGGCCCCACATGCGTATGCCCTCTTTATCACGAATACAATATCACATCACAAAAATGTTATCCCGTGGACTCCTGCCTTGACGCGGATCCGCCTTGTGCACAGATTTGTGACTATAAAAATGGACCTTTCCAGTGTTATTGCGAGGAGGGCTATATAATTGATATTCTAAAGATCGGTGTTGGATGCTTTGCACCGGGTAAGTGATTATCTATTATTTTTTATATATAAGAAGAGTGTTTACGTCATTGTTTTAGGTCTTCACTTACGGTTCGAAGAGTTTTATTTACTCCTGTTTTTGTCTTATTTTCTTCACTTTAGGAGCAAACTGTAATTAGTAAACTAAACTGCATTTGATTCGAAAATATCTCAGTGTCATAGGTCCCTCTGTGGGAATCCAAACCAGGACCTGCAACAACTTTGCAAGCATTACATTTCTTGCCTTGGGCAAGCGATACGTCTACGCTTAAGGTGGATTTATAATGCACAAATTTTGGAATATATCCGCACGTTATCGCGTTGCGCGATGACCTTGAGTTGACCAAACCGGAACTGCGACGACAGCTCCTGATATATTGCCAGAATTAGTGCATTGTGAATCCACCTTTATGGGTTGCAGTCATAGACAACTACGACGTACGGAACTGAAAGTTACACTACCACTTGCGCTTTAAATCGCAAAGCTCCAAAGGGCAATACTGCTATACCCATTTGTTACCCAACCTGAGACACAAAGTTGACAAGAGTGTGCCTATAGTTTCTCTTCTTAACTGGAATGCAGTAATGCTTACATCACGGCTTGGCTCAGAAATAGTTGTGATGGCAATACTTCTCTGGACTCTAAGTTCTACCAAATAATCGATCACTGCCTCTGACTTTCAGATCCAGAAGGTCTCTTGTTCTACAGTACAAGCAACGAAATTCGGTATGTTGGAGTGAAATCAAAACATATACGAGTTGCTGCCACTAGATTGAAGCAAGTATGTACCCACTAAATGAAAATTGAATGCAAAATGAACTTACTGACAATTATGCCATACCCGGCACGGAATAAAAAAAGAGTATCAATTTTAATGCATTATTATCACCACATCATCGCCACACTTGTAACGTAATTATTACAGTACACTACTAAGGTAGACGAGTAATTTTGTAATAGTATATAGTAGAGTACGGACCATAGCGGTTATATTAGATATTAGGCTTTAGCCTTGTGATTGGCAGTATACCTACACGATGATATTAGTTTGATGTGGTATCTCTTACTTTGTAACTTTCACAGTCTTATGTATTACTTATCTTAGCCGCGAGACATGGAATACGACGGCAAACATCTCTACTGGGTAGAGACAGCAGCAGGACATCAAGCCATTGTGAGGGCGCAGCTCCACAACATCACGGAGACCAAAGAGGTTAGTCTAAACCAGGGTTCTAAACCGCACAGCGCAGCGAGTGATGCTGTCTTGGCATCGAGTATATAACCAGAAGTAAAGACGAAATAAGGGCCATCTATCGCTGGCAACTATAAGAGGCAAATGGGCCTTATATAATTTTTAAATATCAACTCTAGTTTGCACTGAAATCACAAATAGAAAGCTGTGTACAATAGTACAGCGCCAACAACTGACCTGTGTGTACATCTCCGTATATTCCAAAAATATTCTCTATTTATTGTAATAAAGATAATATCTGGAACTATGGGGGGCTGTTCCATTCGGTGTTATGGGAAAAACAACAAAATATCTAATTACAAACAAACGGAATCACATTTCATCGATATTTTAATTAATATTTTGATTACATATTATGTAGGTAATTTTTTCAACTATCGTCCATTATAGCAAAGGTCAAGTTAAACTGGTCGATTTGAAGTGAAATAATTGACGACACTATTCGGGCTGGCCAATCGGAGCGCAGCTATCACCGACTTGGCAGAATAGTTGTCAAACAAATTAAATGACATTTCGTCTCTATTTCTAGTTATATACTCGATGTTTCTTGGCATCCACTTAAATTTTACGAATGCAATTGCTCTGCCGTTCCTTAATCTATATGAATTGAAATTTAATATATAAATACGTGACGAAGTCTACATTTTTAATTTAAGATAATTCAGCTCAAAGGTTACTCGGAACTCGTAATAGTTATTTTTACATTTATTTTACTCGTCTATGCGTACAATTATTTCTTTTTTCACTTGTTTGGTCGAAAATTAGGATTAAGAATGCGGGTCTGCGCTGCTGAACCTAAGAGCGTTTACGCACTACGTCCGATTCAAGTGATGGTCCGAAATGTTACAGAGATCATTTTATCTCTTGGTGTACAGGGTCAAGAGCACGTCGCGCTTGACATTTGAGATTACAAGCGATATTCGTATTTTCTTGGATTCGAATTTCGCACAAGCGTTATCCGAAGTGGGTCCGAGTTTTCTAGATTTGTATAGTCTCGGATTCGGAACGAAAACGAATCGGATGCAGTGCGAAAATGCGCTTCGACACCTCCGATTAAGATAAACCCCAACATCGTCATTTGCGCGAAACTGTCAACTAACGCGAAAGTTTCAAGTATCTACGGTCACGACATAGTCGTAACATTTTTCAAAAGGCCGTAGTATTGGTGTAATAAAGCCACATGTGATTATACGTCAAATTTGCTTTTATCACATATGCATGGAAGTTAAATTGAAAGTGAAAGTAAAAGTCAATGTGAAATTATGTATTATGTGAAATTTTATAACTCTCCTGTCAGCATAAAAAAGTTACCGTTCATTAGTAGAATCTTTAAACTTCTGTCCTGAAAGTTGTCGTTTTGCAGATGTGGTCTTATTACACTAGGGCTAGCACGACAAGGCGCGACTTGCTGGAGCGTGTTAAAAAGCGCGAGATCACGGAAAAAACCAATGGAAGTGCCTTAAGCTTCGATTACTATTGGAACCGATGTCGCCAAAACGCACCCAAACCAATGAGATAATCACTATGAAATCTTGATAATGATTGGTCATAGTTTTTTTTATAACATCAAGTGATGGGACGAACAAGTCGTGCGCCTGATGGTAAGCTACACGCCTCAGAGCTTTAAATTGCAAAGCTCTTAGGGGCACTGCCACTGCGCCCGTCTCCTTGAGACGTAAGTTGCCAAGTCCCATGTGCCTATAATTACACCAGCACTCTTACCTTTCAAAACCGGAACACAGTGATGCTGACATTATTTCTTGGCGGCAGAAATAGGTAATATGGCAGTAGATACTAACCTGGACGAACTCTTTCACAACTCTAGGAGCTCTACTGCTACTTTCTAATTTCAAATTCTAACTCTAATTTAAAAAGATGTAACAAATTCTGGATTGTTAATATAATTTAAAACTTTGCCCAATCGCCATATCTTTGAAAGTGCAATAAGTTTATTGCAAGGTACGACGTTTTGATTTTATATGCAATTTTATTCAACGTGCTGCCATTTTGCGGCCGATTGACGATTAACACCTGAACGAATAGATAAACAGAAAATTGATTTATTAAAGTAAGACTTACCGATAATTTGAAATACTACTAACACTACGGGTAATATTTCTTAGAGAATTTGCGCCAAAGAATGACACAACCATATCATATATAGTGCAAATGGCTGACTGAACTCAAGTAGGTCTTTCGAGACCTACAGTTGGCACGCGTCAGACGCTAACTAACCACTTCTACTGTATTTATTGATCTATGCGCCAGCTTCTGCTGTTCTCGCAGAGGGAATCGCACTTTTATGCCGCTCTCGTGCAGGTCACGCCCTGTCGTGGTAATCCTACAAGGGTGCCAAACATCCATTCCCTCGCAGAATTCCGTTTGTATGAAATTACGCTTTTAAATATTATTTAAATAATAAATATATTCAACAGACAATCGTAAGTCTAGGTCTTGAAGACTCAGATTCAATAGCCATAGACTGGCTCGGGGGCAATTTGTACTTCACGGATGCAGAGCGTGGAATCATCTCAGCTTGCACGTTGAATGGTTCAGCGTGTACAACGATAGTCACCAACGCCAGAGTCCCGAGGCATCTTACGCTGCATGTTAAAAGGGGGTGAGTACTGTCATGGGGTGTCAATACTTAATTGATACCTCCAATGAACACTACCTACGGCAGCTTTATTTTTTGGTCATTTTCTGTTATTTTTGTAAACAGCCATATTTATTTACTAATATGGCTAGGAAATTAAATTACTTTTCCGTAACGTTTGTTTGTTTGAAAAAACAAATATACGCGATTTAAATCCGGGAAAGTAGTTTCATTTCTTATATGTAACAATCGCGAAAAACTAAGAACTCGATATAATATTATTCTCATCGAATTTTGTGAAAAAAAAATAAGGGAAAAAAGTATAAAATGTGATAAATCATGTTTAAATAAATGAAATAAAAAAAAATATCTACTTTTCTCTTGCAGTAACTTCATGCCTTATCCACCAAGAAACAAAATAAAAATTGTGACTGATCGGTCTATTTTTACTGATCACGGCAGTGTACATAACAATTTAAAAAAATATATATCACATGTGACCTTTCAACTAGCGGCGACAGTAAACATTCACAAATTACTTAACTTAGAAATTAGTTAGACCTATGTACCTACATGCCACCACCGCATGAACCACATTTTTGTAAGCAGAAATCTGATTTATTGAAAATTACAAAATTAAAAAAGTAGGTACGAATAATTTCGGATTATTGCTTTTTTTATTCATCGTTATACTTTTGTGCGTTTTTTTTCAGTAATATGTATTGGGCAGACTGGCACGATCGACCAGTAATAATGGCAGCACGTATGGACGGGTCAAATTCGTCTGTTCTTACTGACAAACTACAGGTGAGTCATTAAGCGTTTGGTAAATCTGAATACGATAATAATGAAAATATGATTATGTAGTTGCCCAAACCGATATAAGTTCTTCAGTGTTCCGCTTTGACAAGTTTTGGGATCTTGTTAGACAGTCGATGGCGATCGCTTTTTGTCTTTTTTTTTATAATGCCAAGTGACGGGACGAACAAGTCGTGCGCCTGGTGGTAAGCGACACGCCTATTCGTAACAGTTGCAGTGCCACGCAGAGCTTTAAATCGCAAAGATTTTAAGGTCTCTGCGCCCGTGACCCTGAGACATAAGTTGAAAAGTCCCATGTGCCTGTAATTTTACCAGCACCCTTCAAAACCGGAACGCAGTAATGCTAACATTACTGCTGGGCGGTAGAAATAGTTGGACGAACTCTATCGCAACGAGCTCTACTGCTACTAAATAATGTTATGATGAAGAACAAAGTTATGTACTATGTATAAAGTCAGGCATTATGACAAAAATTGGATTAACGTAGTAACGTAGCTATGTGTTCGTACAGAAATACCCAACGTCTCTTTCGCTGGATGCGCCCAATGACCGTCTCTACTTTATCGATGGCGCAGTCAAAGTTATTCGTGCTGAAGGTGGCAAAATATTCGTAAGTGTATCAAATTATTATTTCTTATATTATAACTAAGAATTTACATTTGTATTTCGTGAAATAAAATGACGTGAGTTAACACTTATTGTGTAATGGGGGCGGTAAATAGGTAATTACGAACAATCAAATTTTCACAATCAAATTTTTTAGGAAAAGGAAAATAGACTTAATTACGGTATAGTTTTTACATGTGATAGAGTTAAAATTACATAGGGTGCACTATAAGTTTTCGGAACTGGCCACTTACATTAAACAATATTAAAAAGTAATTACAACATTTGAAAATGGAACTCTTTGGCTGTAGAATACAGTTTGTTTCATCTGACTGTCACTTGTTTTTACATTGTGGCGTCATTTTAGAAATTGGTTGTCTACATCACCGTGGATTTAACTCGTGAAAATTTTCGTAGTACGATTTTCTACGACTGAAAGGGTAATTAAACAGCTCAGCAGAGCTTCGTTCGGATTCAAACTCCTTTTGGCGATGAAGCACCATGTAAGACGACTATTTATAGCTGGTTTGCAGAATTCAATCTTTTCTTCAAAAACTTCAAAATTTTCGTGTGAATCTCAGTGACGAATTTCGTGATAGTCGCCGGTCCACTGGTGTGAACGACAAAAACGTCGCGTCACTTGGTGCAATGCCATGCTTACTAGATTCGACGAAGGGGCGCCAAATTTGGTGTGAGATATAATAACAGGTGACAAAACATGGATTTATAGGTACGATCCCAAAATGTATGAATATATGGGTTTTTCGAGAAGAGCCGAAACCAACCAAAGCGGCGCGCGTGCAAAGTACCTCTAAACGGGTGATTGCTTCTTTTTTTAATAAAACTGGACACGTGGTTACTGTTGCTTTGGAGAATCGTTGTACCGTGAATAGTGACTGGTACACGACCATCTATTTGCCGGAAGTTATTGACAAACTCCGTAAAAATAGCTGTAAACGCCGTATCATCTTGCACCACGATAACACCAGTTATCACACGGCCAGACAGACAAATGAATTTTTAAAGGTGAACAACGTTGACCTTATGAGCGATCCCGCGTACAGTCCCAACCTGGCACCTTGTGACTTTTATTTATTTCCAAAAATTAAGATCCGATTACGCGGTCAACGATTTTCACCACCTGAAGAGGCTGTCGAACAGAATAATCAATATGTTTCAGAGATCGTCAAGGAGGAGTGGCATAAATGTTTTCAGAATTGGTTCATTCGCATGAAAAAGTGCATTAACGCTAACGGAGAATATTTTGAGAAACAATAAATTCATTTCTTATCATTTATAGTATTTTTTTCTTGTTCATTCCGGAAACTTATAGTGCGCCCCACGTATACGTTTTCCACGTGAAATATCATTGTGTTAGTAATTCACCATGAAGAAGAGAAAACTTATACCGAAAAATGGTGACCACGCCGTTATAGTTTTCAAAAATGTTGTAGGGGAGGAATATTGTTGTTCCCGCGTGCTACCAGTCGTTCCCTCATCGCCGTCCGCATAACTTGTGTAATCAGAAATGTAATTAAGTGGAGTCAAAATTAGATACCCTAAACTTCAAACCAATATATTTTCAGACTGTAATTATTAATACAAAAATCGAACAATAAGAAATTCATTCAATTGATTCGAAATTGGGCTACGCATAAGCAACGAACCAGTAGACCTTACTCTTGAGTACTCACCAGCGAGCTGTAACTGTAACCATTGTTAGTTACTAAAAATCACATGTGTGTACATGGTTCGCGAGCTTGTTGCGAGCGGAACGCGTGCAGTCGACGTGAGTCAGGTACTCATTCTAGCGAGTGAAGACTATTTCACGCATACACGCTAGAACCTCTTTATTGTGCCTATCACGTTATAGTTACAGCTCGATAATGAGTACCCAGCTTTACGAATTTTTCTGTGCTTGTTGCAGATATTGTTTTTGTCTTTTAACAGCTTTTTGTCGTAGCGCCATCTGTGAGAAATCTATGAAAGTCTTTAGTGAAGTATCTTTGTGTTCGGTCATTGTATAATTTAATTTCACAAAAAATGGTAAGTAAGATATCGATACAATCAATAAACTTAATATTTTCAGACGATGTTCGAGCATCCCCTGCACCGTCCACACGCAGTGGCACTTTTCGAAAACTCAGTGTATTTCAGCGACTGGACTACGAACTCCATTCTAGGCTTACGGAAAATGTCTGGCCTCGAACACAGGGATGATATCTATAAAGTTAATGCTACTGTGTTTAGTAAGTATCTGATGAGAATACGTTTATTACAGTATGTCTATTTTGAAGGAGTAAAATGAGTTTTGTAAGTTGCCAGTTATCTTAAAATTTTAAATAGTTATGTAATTGTTGTCGATAGTTTTATCGATAGATTGTGGAAGGAGATAAAATTTTGCCAAAAATGACTGAATTGTGAATGTTGCGGCTTTCTATTTTCTTTTACGGCCTTCTTTATTCTTATTTTGACAGTTGGCCTACTAGTATCGAAGTCAATTTTTATTCTTAAATATTTTAACTAGAATAGCCGGATTTGATTATCTATATTGAATTAAAATGAGAAAAATAATTGAATTTAAATAAAAACTTAAAATATGTCTCCTCTTTGTATTTTTTATAAACATAGTTCTAAATACAGTGTATGTATCAACTTACAAAAATTGATAATTCAAATTAACTTGTGCTCAGTAATTGGATGAATAATGGGTCGAGGATGATTCAAATGAAACTAGTTCGGCTATTTATTCCATAAGTGTGACCAATATTCAGTTGATAGAATATTTATCGACGGCAATCATTAGGTGCTCGCAATCGGGTAACTTTTTTGCGCAATGAACTATCATTTTACTCCGTTCTCAAAAAAAAAACAGACTATAAAAACATTCGATGATTGAATAAATGCTATACATTGGTAAAGGTATTGCTATAGTGATTATAATGAAGCGAATTAAATCTCTTTTTTCTTTGATTTTAACAAACGAATTAAAAAAGTGATGTAACAACTAGTTATTTCTAGTTCTGTCTGTACGTGAAGTATAACTTGCCCCAGAGTATGTCTTTTGAATCCGAGTCTTTAATGACCTAGACTTATCATTCTCCTCTGTAGGGTAAATTAATTTTAAAAGTATTGAAACCTGTAATCTCAAGCAAACGAAATTCTGGGAGGAGCTATGAATGCTTTGCACAGTTGATGTAATAAGACCACATCTGCAAAATAGCAACATTTCAATGAGATGTTTATTATCTCTAATAATAATAATAATAATAAAAATAGTGTAAAGTAATTAATAATAATATATTTTTATTATCTCTCACATCAGATAGGTATGGTAACAGCATAGACTTTCAGTATTAAATTTTGTAAGAGATAGAAACTTAAACTAGGATACCCTGTGTGTTAGGCGTCCCCTCTTGATTGTACAGTTTATGTACTCTACTTAAAGTGCAGTTAAATTACATTAGATTAAAACACTTCTTACTAATAATGTTAGTATAAGATAATGTAATTTGTTTTATATATATCAATAATTTGACTGAAGGACTTGTTATCGATGGTCATGAAATAAATTATTATTATCAAAAGGATCGACAATTATCCAAGATCTGTTCGTCGAAACAAAAATGCACTAGTATTACCTACATCCCGACTCAAACTTCATTCATCAAGCCCACAAGTTATGGCAGTGAAAATATTTAATAAATTACCAGAACAATTAAGAGATACGGTAGAAACTGCAGATTTTAATCTTAAACTTAAGGAATTACTTACTACAAAAGCGTACTACACAATATCTGACTATTTAAGCGACAAACTTTAAAATTGACTATTATTACTTTTAATTCCACAAAACCATCATAAATACTCGGTCGCTATTGTTATCATGTCTATGAATAAATAAATACATTTGTAATTAAATAAAATATAATAAACATTGTACGTTATGACTAACATAATTATGTAATATATAGAATTATTTTACCCTATAGTGTTTAAGTTGTTGACATTTGAATAATTGTACTTTAATTTTAATTTTATTCTTATTTTATTGACTAATTGCAACCATATCATATATAAATATAACATTGTACACCCGACAGGGGTATGAACTGTTGTACTCAAATTACATGTAACATCTTCTTTACCAGTTCAAACAATAAACGATTCTGATTCTGATTCTGAAATTAAAAAATTAGTCCGTTAACGTTTTTATGCATAAGAGAGTTATGAAATTTCACATATTAATACATAATTTATTTCATGCAGTTAGTATTATTTTTATGACTTTCATTTGATAAACACACTTTTGACGCTCATGCGTGATCACGTGGCTTTAATACCAGCATACGGCCCTCATAACGAAAAAAAGCACAACTATGCGTACTTTATACAGCAGTTGGTGCCTTTTTTCTTTATGAGGGCAGCATAGCCAGCACGACAGGGCGCGACTTGCGCAAGAGCGACATAAAGCGCGGGATTTCTATGCGAGGATATCAGTATCTCGCGTTTTATGTAGCTCTCGCGCAAATCGCACCCTATCGTGCTATCCCTACTAGGGTACTAAATAGGCGATATTAAAGTCGTTTGATTGTAATCTTATTTCTGAATACATTTACTAAGTGACGTAGACAATTTTAGTTGCCTTGTTGCAGCCTCCGGTGGCAAGACCTACCCTCCATATCATAACTAACGTAATCGATATTTATAGCGAAATTTAGTTATTAACACATCTGCAATCAGCTAATCAAGATCTACAACTCATAGAGCGGTTTTTTGTATATCTTATTTAGTCTCAGTTTTTATTGTTAAGCAAAATCAGCGTAATTGAAATGTTTCAAATTTAAAAAAATATCGGTACCAATATCTTGAAATTTACCAAAAATACAAAATACGTTAGTTATGACAAGGAGGGCAGAGAAGATTACAAGCTGCTACAATAGGGGTTGATATTATTTCACATTTAATAAGAAGAGTTTAAAATATCAATCTTTATCTTTTATATTTTTTTGTTATTATGATACGACAGTGTAACATCCCAAAGTATATTTGACACCTTTTTGTTACACTCTGTATAAATGCTGATTAGAGCAATAGATCCTTTACATCTGCCTTCCTTTACAGATCTCTTCGTATACCACCCAATTCTTATGACATCCAAATCAAACCCGTGTGAAAACCATAGTTGCTCGCATTTTTGTTTCCTCACGTCGAATGTGTCATATGTGTGCGCATGTCCTGAGGATATGCAACTGAAGACGCATTCAAGCAATATTTGCCAGGGTAAGTCTTTTAACTCCCATTGGATTTAGATCAAGAGTTGGCAAGCTTTTTCCACTAGGGGCCAGAAAAACAAGAAATTTTACATGGGGCCACAATTAAAATGAAATGCATTTTTCCAAATATTTTTAATTTATTATCGTGTAGTGCTATCAGTTCCATGCTGATCTGGAACTAAAAGAAAAACATATAAGGTATCGACTGCTTGTCATCCCGTGCAAGTTATAAAAGTCCTAAAAATAACAAAATACCAAGCAAATACAAATTAAAAAACGAATACAATCTCGCGTCAGTACTAAACACAGCGTCGCATTGTTTGCACGTCACAAGTGGTTACTAATTTTATATTTAAAAATGCCGTCTTGTGTCTTTAAGCATTGCAAAAGTTGTTCCTAAAAAAAATATGGAATATCTTTTCACAGGGAATTACTAATTATTTAACTGTTTTATAATTTATTTACCCAATATTTTTTGAGATTCACTCGGAACACAAAATGACGCACTTCCTAGTTGTCACGCACACAATAGCTGAAAAGCGGCTTTACTTCTTTTTTTGCGAATGCTCTATCTGCCTATTGTATTGTAATCTGAGAGTCACATAAAGAAATCTGATCGGTAAGCAGATAATTTTCTGTGTTTTTACAGAGACTGTACCTGCAGCACTAGCACGACGGGTACGATTTGCGCATGAACCCGTAGAACCATATTCATATTCTTTATTTGCAAGTTACATGGTTACATAAAAAGAACAATAAACACAGTAGAAGTGGTTGGTTAGAGTCCGATGCGTGCCAATTGTGGATCTCGAAAGACCCTACTTGAGCTCAGTCCGCTATTTTCGCTTTGTATGGTATCGTGTCATTCTTTCGCGCAAATTCTCTAAAATTTCAGAAACATGCCTTATTGTGCTGTTTTGGAGTGCAAAAATGATAGCTGCACCAAAAATATTACCTGTAGTAGTATTTCAAATCATAATTAAGTCTTATTTTAATCAATTTTAAATTTTCTTATTATCTATTCGTTACATATTCGTTCAGATGTTAATAGTTCGTCGTAGTCCAGATACTGGTTACAAGATGGCAGCATGTTGAATTAAGTTTCAATATAAAATCAAAACTTCGTAACTTACAATAAAGGTATTGAACTTTCAATGATATAGATAGATAGATAGTTTATTTACGATATGGCGACTGAGTAAAGTTTAAATTATATTAACAATCCAGAATTTATTACATCTATTTAAATTAGAAACTATTTTATTATTTTGTTTGTATGCGTTTTGACGACATCGGTACCGATAATAATCGAGGCTAAGGGCGCGGTAAAATTAGCCGCTGTTAGAAGCGCTGCTGTAGACGTGTGGCGGCCACGCTGCAACCGCGCTGTGCGACCAAATTTTTAGTTATGTTTTTTATCTTTCGACTCAGTTATGCGAAGGATTCTGACAAAGAAACATTACTTTTACCTAGTTCTTGGGGCACACACTTCACATATAGGTATGCTATGTTTTTTTCAGTTGTAGTTTTAGTTTCAAAATTGTCAATAAATTTTAGACATCAATTTTCCCATGCATTTTTGTATCCAGTCGATTAGAATATCTGGCGGAATTGCTATCCCATATTGCAGGGTGTTGTTTTGCATTCTCTATAAATTCTTCAATTTGATTTTCATCCATCGAAGTTAATTTGAAAAATTAACATATACACCTCACTAACCATGACTGCAACCGAACGTGACTGCAGCGCGACTGTCGCGCGGCCGTTGTGTAGTTGCAGCGCTTCTAGCAGCGGCTAATTTGAACGCGCCCTTATGGCATTTCCATTGTTTTTTTCTTCCGTGGTTATATAACAGGTGGTCTTATGCTAATGGTACTTGAAATGTATGACATGCCTCGTGGAGGCATTGCAACATTGAGGGCACTATATCCTTACTGTACTAAGTACATTATCAAAATAAAATTAGGAATAATTAATAATAAAAGTAAACAGCATTTTAAGCAATATTAACAATTTCATTGCGCATAGATGCGAGAATAGCAATGTCTCAAGCTTTTTGTCGCTTCTCGCGTTTCTCCCTGTCGTGCTAGCACTACAGAGTTTACTTAAGTGATGACTTCTGAATTTTTGCCAAATTGCCTGACATGAGACGTATCATCAGTGGCAGTCATAATTTATTGTACAATTTTACACACAATACCTATGTAATATACAATTACCTATGTAATTTAAATTACCTCAATAAAATAAAATAAATAAAATTTCAATTATCTCCTAATCATTAAACGCCGAGGACCTTGACACGTACACAATTTTCATTCCTTTTGGATACATTTATTCTCTATCCGAAGTGCTACGAGTATGCCACAGATTTGGAAACATTCCTTTCTAGAAAGGAAATATTCTTAACAGTTCTCAAATTCTACTTTTATCTGCTTGCAGAGATTGAGACTTACCGACCTCAATATCTCGTAATCGGAAGTGGAGCCGACTTCACTCGGATCCAATACAACACATTGGGAAACCCTGAAAGCCACGCGACTCACTTTGACATAGGTCGTGTACAGGCCATGGCTTACGACAGTATCCGAGGTAGGTACAATCGTGTAGACTAACTTCTATGTCACTCCTAAAGATAGAAAAAGCATAATGATGACGCGTCACTTCTTTTGTTTTCGCGCACTCTAGTAGCTGCGTACATCACATCTGCTCCCTGCGACTGTCATTTTGTTCTGCGCAGCCGTGTGTCTTTATACTAGTGAGATAGCAATACATCTGTCTCGCTCTTGCAAATAATGTACGCTCTCTGATTGGTTGATTGTGTATTCAACACTTAGAGAGTATACTATTCAGAGCTTTTAGATTGATATAAATATATCGACATTTGCATTTTGGTTCTGGTTTCAGTATACTATTCAGAACTAATGCAAGTGACATTTGCCAATAAATGCATTCTGGTTCTGGTTCCAACTCTCATCATCAACGTCTCACTGAAAAGTATGTAGGTACCTACAGCTACTCATCTGCTAAACTACCGTGAAGAGCACTTCAATTGGCGGCACGAAGCTCCTAAACTGTTAACACGATTCTCTATAGAACAATATTTTGTACGCGTTCCGGTTACTTCACGCGTCCTTCTTTCCATTTTCATATCTATTGTACGCTGTCGTCTTTCGTCCTTTCCATTAATGACCCGAAACTTGAGCTATACAAGGCGAGGCGAAGTCTAGAGCGTTGGCGAACTACGTCCGATTCGTATCTGTTTTAGACTTGTATAGTCTCGGATTTGGAACGAATAAGAATCGGTTGCAGTGATCGTCTTATATAATTTTCCTTTCAGATTAAAAATTTTAAAGTCACTAAGAAAATTTATTATTGATATAAAGGTCGAGCAAACATAAAGAAAAATTCCTTCAATCCAACTGGTTTTATACCTCAGCGCAGCTACCGCTCTTACTGACTGAGATACAACGTCCTGATTTAAATCGGAATCGATCCATTCGGGTAGTTTTGAAATCAAATGGGTTTCTGAGCGAGAAGATGAACCTGATTCCTACTATATCTTTCTAATCTATCGAACTGCCTCCGTGGCCGAACGGTTACCATGCCGGACTGCCACGCAGAGGTCCCAGGTTCGATTCCCGGGCCGGGAAAAATAGTTGTATGGCCTACAATTATTTCTCTCGTGAGTTTGGGTGTAATTTGTGGTTGTCTATGTGTGTGTCCATGGCACCCGCGACACAGGGTTTCCCTAGTGCGGGGCTATGTTGAGTGTGTGCGTTATTTATTTAATTTGTGAGTCAAATCAACTATTGTTCCCATTGACTTCCAATCATAATTGTTCCGATTAGGATTGTCAAAAATGTCCGATCGGCCAGTTGTGAATCGCAATTATGCGCCTCGACTCGGAAAAGACGCAATTTCCGATCGGGAGAGGCAATCAAAATCAAGCAGCTGATCGGGTCAGCAGAACGTACTAATTAATTTCTCTGTGTGCTTATTGTGGATCTTTGTGTAGGGTTTAAACGACTATTTTGCCCTAGCGCCACATGTGAGAAACTCATGAGACTTTCTTCACTACAGGAATAGTATTTAAAATTTATTTATGTACAATATAATAAAATTTATTAATTACAACGCCACAACACAAAAGTATACAGAAAGAAATAAAAAAAGACAAAGCTAAAAAAAAAGCAACGAAGCAAACTTAATCCAATTTTAAAACAGTGAATTTGAATAAATGTCACGTGTCCTGGTGGCGTATGTAAAAGGATCCACTTAGCTAATGTCACAACCGCGTAAAGACTGTGGTGCCGATTTTCAGTAGACCCTAAAACCAAGTGAGTACCGGACGCGTGTGCAGCGCTTGTAAAATAAATTACGTAAATCTTTCTACAATGAGTACGTTGCTCTTGTGGTGTGTGCTCAATACAATACTTAAACAACTTACTTGATACATACATACAGTGATAAGTGAGTGTATTGTAGTATCCAACATTTACAACAGACAAAACTTAGGACTTATTTGGTTTCAGATATGCTTTACATATTCGATGCAATACATAAAACATTAAATTACGTATCGATGCGAGATTTCAAAGGGGGTAAGACGCAAGTCCTCCTCAGATTCGGACTCAACAATATTGTCGATATGGATTTCGGTAAGTTATATTATTTGATAGGTTTGTCTATCTCGACTCATTACCTCCACAGTAAATGCCCATTCCCACTGCAGCGTCCTGTTTTTTGCGGGTTCGGTTTTTTGCAATATTATATTGTCGATATTGTTTCAATAGTCACACGATCATCCCGCCGCAGGATCCTGCAAAAACGAATTGGTCCGTAGACCAAGAAAAAACAGGATTCCGTTTTAATGACAAATATATTTCAATGGAAATGTTCACACACCTACATGATGTTTTTTTTACGTTGCCGGTGGCTATAATACCGGCACAATGTCACAAGATTGTGCACGTCCATTGCTTCTGAATTAACGTAATAAATTGATAAATTGGTGTTCTTCCAAAAAATCAGGACTCAATGTACTACGTGTGAACGCACCAGTTCGATTTGCGGGATCCAGTAAAAATTTAGTCCTGCAGAACAGGACGCCCATAGGAATGGGCCTTAAAAGGCCGTAACTATATGTGATTTAAGTCCAAAAAAAAAATAGTTTCATTTCCAATGTGAAGCCTTTTTCCAAATGCTTTTACCACATGTTCTGTGGTGTCCGTAAATACAGGTTTCTACCGCCTTTCAGTTACAGCTCTTGTCCATCGTCGATATTTGGTTTCAAAGTTTTAATATATTTTGAAATGACGATTTCAAACTTTTCAGATTATGTAACAAACGTCTTATACCTATTGGATGGAGGTCGTTGGACTCTCGATTTGGTTTCTTTGAAGACGTTGAAGACCACTGTTTTAGTTCGTTTTGAACAGACTCCAATTAGTTTGTGTGTTTTATCAGATTATGGGTAAATATTTTTTTTATTAGGTATTAAAAAATAAGTGCGCATTAGACCTCCGTTTCACACGATGGAAAGTGACGATGAGGTCGACGATGGAGCATGCACAACTGCACACTTATACGTGGGGCGCACTATAAGTTTCCGGAATAAATAAGAAAAAAAAAAACTATAAATGGACAGAAATGAATTTATTGTTTCTCAAAATATTCTCCGTTAGCGTTAATGCACTTTTTCATACGAATGAACCAATTTTGAAAACGTTTATGCCACTCCTCCGCGGCAATCTCTGAAACATATTTTACATACTATTCGACAGCCTCTTCAGGTGATGAAAATCGTTGACCGCGTAACTGGTTATTTCTTTTTGGAAATAAATAAAAAACGCAAGGTGCCTGGTTGGGATTGTATGCGGGATGGCTCATAAGGTCAACGAATTTCACCTCCAAAAATTCATTTGTCTTTTTGGCGGTATGAGAACTGGCATTATCGTGGTGCAAGATGATACGGCGTTTACGGTTATTTTTACGGAATTTGTCAATAACTTCCGGCAAACAAATGGTCGTATACCAATCCCTATTCACGGTACAATGATTCTCTAAAGCAACAGTAGCCACGTGTCCAGTTTTATTAAAAAAAGAAGCAATAATCCGCTTAGAGGCATTTTGCACGCGCGCCACTTTGATTTGTTTCGGCTCATCTCGAAAGACTCATACATACCCTTTGTTTTAGGATCGTAACTATAAATCCATGTTTCGTCACCTGTTACTATGTCCCACACCAAATTTGACGCCCCTTCGTTGAATCTGGTAAGAATGGCATTGCACCAAGAGACGCGATCCGTTTTTTGAGCCTCAGTCAAATTGTGTGGGATCCACCGAGAGCATAGCTTTTTCACACCCAAATGTTTGTGTAGTATTGATTGCATTTGACTTATGCCTATGCCTACAGATGCTCGAATCTCATGGTATGTCATACGGCGCACAGCATCGATGTTGTTGTTGTTCACAGCAGTGGACGGGCGACTATCACGAAATTCGCGTTTGAATTCTGCAAACCAGCTATAAATAGTCTCGTCTTCATCGCCAAAAGCAGTTTGAAGTCGAGCGAAGCTCCGCTGAGCTGCTACATTACACTTAAAGTCGTAGAAAATCATAATACGAAAATTTTCGAGTTAAATCCATGGTGGTGTAGACAACCAATTTCTAAAGATGACGCCACAATGTAAAAACAAGTGACAGTCAGATGAAACAAACTGTATTCTACAGCCAAAGAGTTCTATTTTCAAATGTTGTAATTACTTTTTAAATATTGTTTATGTAAGTGGCCAGTTCCGAAAACTTATAGTGCGGCCTATGTATAATGCTACGTGCGGACCTCAAAATGGTTCTCTAACACATGTATCTGTTTTCAGAAAATTACTAGTGGCAGTCAAAGAAGTAAATAACGGGATTCGAATCGACAGTATGGGCCTTGATGGATCTGACAGAAAAACGATTGTTGTCAACGATTTAAAAGGTAAATCAAGTGTTATGGGGTTAGTAGCATGGTCTTACGATGTTGTTAGTATTTTACAAACAATCCTTTATATAATCGATGGTTTGGTAATGGTTTATGCGTAAGTGTAGAGTTACTAAGTGTTATTTCATTCATACAAATTCCGCAAGGTGATACCGTGATATTCCGTTAAATTAATACAAATTTACAAACATCAAAAGCAGTACTCTCACATTTTGCTCGCTGCCGCTATGATAGCTGCAAAACTACTCACGCTTATTTACTTTATTTAGGTCCTCACATTGCATTAAAGTATGCTCATAATTTGGACAACGTATACTTGGCTGATGAAACCAGCGGTATGATCGACTACATGCATCCTGAAGGTATGTAAAACAACTGAATATAATAAAGAAACAAATGTAAATAAATAATAAATATTAGACAACATCACATAGGTTACTTTGATCTCAAAGTAACTAAAGCACTTGTGGAAATCGGAAACAACGACGCGTCGGTACCAAGGAGCTTATTGGTCGGTACTCGGTACCAAAAAAATAAATGACGATGAGATGACTGCGAATTGCAAAATGAGTATAATAATACTTCGAATTATGAAAGTATCACATGAGTCAAAAGTCAAAGAATCATTTATTCCATAGATAAAATAAATTTACACTTGAAAACGTCACATTTAAGCTGTTGTTCGTTCACTACGCTGACTTCCCTAAAAAGAACGAGCTATAGGGATTGCTCTTTTCAAGTAAAGTTAATGATATAGAATGCACTTTGAATTAAATTTGTGTGGAATATAGAGCCATGGTCGTCTTTCCATACATTAGGAAATGATAATCTTAATATATGCATCGGAATATTATTGTAAAAACGTGTACAGTTCCCCATAAAAGAGTCGTTTACCTTGCTTATTACCTTGCTTGCACGAAATCGTGGTACCATGAGTTTGGACTTAGCTCTAAGGTTAATATTATGGATGTTTTTTCATATTGAAATTAAGTATATTTTACGGGCATATAAAATATTTGAGTAAATGTACTGTGATGCCAGTCATGATACCAGTCTCCTTAAATTTTTCTCTGAGAGAAACCTGAGAATCTAAACTACACAGAACGAATCGCTCGTTTTTCAATACAAATATGGTTTGAATGTCTGCCTGAAACTGACTGAATGAAACTGAACAACTATAGCCATAAACGTTTCTTCCTGCGTAGCAACACTTTTTAGCAATCACATTGTCACGGAAGAACATATTTCCTTTACTACTCTGGTTTTATAAGGGATTTACACAGAATACTAGACGGGACTACACTTGCAGGCAAACCTTTCACCTGGTGTCTTGGTCGTTGATATTCCAAGTCCCCACTGCTAATTTACGTCTATTTTTTATAATACCAACTGAAGGGACGAACAAGTCGTGCGCCTGACAGTAAGCGACACGCTTGTCCATAACAGTTGTAGTGCTTTAAATCGCTGAGATCTTAGGAATACTGGTGCTGCGCCCGTCATTAATACTAATTATGTTAAAAAGTCCAATGCGCTTGTAAATTCACCAGCATCCTTACTCTTCAAAACCGAAACGCAGTAATGGTCACATTACTGTTTGGCGGCAGAAATAGGTAAGGTGGCAGTACTTCCCTGGATGAACTCTTTCACAAGGCGTTCTTCTGCGCTAAATAAATATATTCATAGTTTGCTGAGCAAACTAAAAAACAGGACAAAGGAAACAGTAAAACAGAAACACTTTTTATCAGAAAGTATGAATAAAAACTCTCTACTTTATTGCTATTAGCATACTCGATGGCTATTAGGCGCACAGATCAAAATATTGTGTAGAAAATTTTCTACAGAATATTTTGACGCGTGTCTGATAATGTAAAAGGTTTACAAATTACTCTTAATTTCCATTACACTACCTGCCTACAAAATATTTTCCCCGCCATAAATACTTTGTTTCATAGTTATATATAAACCACACATACACTCCACTCACTTATTACATACCTACGCACACAAACATACACCTCTAAGCAAAACACACATTCATCTACAATTATTATACAACCACATAACTCCTTACTCTCACATATACATCTTTAACATTTTTTCTTTTCTTTCTAGTTACCTTGTCCACGTCTTATAGCTTATATATACATATAATAACTTATTCACCTATACAGTGAATATTATAACCACATACCTTACATTCTAACTCCGTGTTGATTCTCTATTCTGAGTTACTTCTTTTTTTACCGGCTCACCTTAGGACCTGGCTGAATCATCAGCGTCGTAGTTTGACTGAACTAATGCTGAGTGAGGCTCTTTTTGCTGACACAGTACACTCAACGCTACACCTGACACAACATAATACTCCAGACCATGCCCTTACACCTAGACTAGCCTTTTTCTTTATGATTACCATTGTGCCTATGTCATAAGCTTGTTTGCAACGTGCTGTGATTCAGCAAATAAACGGGTTATCTATCTGTCTATCTATCAGATCACTGCCCAAACACAGACGTCTTCAATAACTATTTTGTTTTATTGCAGGTTCTGGACGAGAAAACTACCGCGAGTTATCAACAACCGTGACGAGCCTTGCAGTAACAGACACGTACGTGTTCTGGACAGACCGTCGAAGCACAAGACTGTACTGGGCAGATATTCATGAAACCACGCCTAAGATTCGCAGGATGGACTTTTGTAAGTATAATGCCGGGTTCGCGAGTCTTTGACTTGCGTTTTTCGCTTGCTTGCATGACTCGCTTCGCGCATACGCAAAGATCTGTCGCGTACGCGCAAGTAGGACTGTTCACGAGTCGCTCGCTTGCGCCGGCCGCTTGCTTTGCGTTGGATTTATTTGCGTTGCGTGAGTTTGATATCTAGCAAGCTTGATATTTCCACGCAAGCAACAAGGAACGTTTGTGGAGGACAGCAACAGTGGCCAATCACAGAGCAGCAGTGTCCACGCGTCCAATACAACCAAACCAAAGGCAAGGCGCCGCGCATGCGCGCATTTTTGGACCTGTTCTGTTTTTATTTTGTTTTTGTTTTTTTTTCAAAAAATTAGTTTTTTTATTATTTTTTGAGACCTTTATTATTTCCCTTTCAAATATATATACTTACATATCGTTCAATTTCAGCGATGTTCTCAAACACAAGCCATCTACACATTCAAGCCACAAATCCAATACCAACAAACCCGATATTACGCCATCCATGCAACTTGGATCCTTGCAAAGAAATTTGTGTACAGACCCCCCATTTGCCACATACAGAAGAATATCATTACAAATGTCTATGTTCCCCTGGTCTAATAAATGTAGCTGGAGATTGTGTGGAATTGATCACCTGCAGACAAGATCAGTACTTCTGCCATATTAGCAATGCGTGTATCGAGAAAAGTCAGATTTGCAATGGTAAGAAGGATTGTTATTATGGAGAAGATGAAGAAGGTTGTCATCGGTGTAAGTATGTTTTGAGATGTTTTTCTGTATTTATCCCTAGTTGCTATAAGTTATGTCTCCGCAACTAAGAATAAAACGAGGTTATTGACAAACTTTTTGCCTTTTAAATCTAAAATCTATTTAGCCCATATCTCTTATTTTACTATGCCGATTCCTGCTATTTGGATGCTACAGAAGAGCTACTAAATAAGCTTGAACGGTTGCAAAATCTATGCGTCAGGTTTATCTTTGGCCTTCGTCAATTTGACCGAATCTCACACTATCGCAGTCAACTCAAGTGGCTCCCCATTCGTCTCCGCAGGAATTTGCATATTGTCTCTGTTCTCCACAATATTTTTCATAACCTTTCGTCTGACGATTATTTGAAAGAGCGTTTCAGCTTTCTCAGGTCTCAGGACAAACCCTGTCGCTCTCACGTTAGGTCCCAGTTACATTTGCCTTCCTTCAATTTCGGTTTTTATTCACACCCCTTCACTGTTCATGCGGTGAGATTTTGGAACGCACTTCCTATTTCTGTTCACGAAAGTAAATCGTTAGCTACTTTTAAATTGAGAGGTAAGGAGCATTATTTATCTACTGTTTCATCCATCCATCCCTTCATTTAATGTTATTAATATTGTATTACTTAATTTTTGTTTTCTTGCGCACGAAACACGTTATTGTATTTATTTTGTCCTGTATTTAGGTCTGCAGGAAGAAATTTCTTATAGAAATAAGCACTACCTTTTGTTTGTGTTTTCTTTCTATTAAATATAATCTGTGCTTTTTCCTGTGCAAAAAACAAATTAATTAAAAAAAATAGAAATTGACGACGACAACTTGTTGTTGTAGGTGTCGTAAATTACAGCTTTGGGCTCAATTTATAACGCCGCGGAACGGAATGGAAGCTGTAACGATACTAGATACGAGCCAAAAAACAGGTCTCGCGTCTTCCGAGAAATCACGTGTATGGGAATGCCTGCAGCTACCATTTGCACATTACAAAATTGACATAAAATTCATTATACTATGTACAATTTCGTCACAAACATTCGCTTCCATTCCTTTCCGCGGCAATGTAAATGAAGTCTTAATACTATCGCTAACATACTCATTATTAACGTATACACTCACTCAATCATTGAGCCATCGTTGAACATTTTCACAAAGCCCTATTTTTAGCATAGAACGTATTGCAGACTGATGACGGTGGAGGGTACCTTGGTAATGATTTTTCACTGTCACAGCCATGTTCTTATATCTTTTCAGTTAATCCCGCTATTTCAAACATATGTCCACCGCACGAGTACTTTTGCAATGACACCTGTATTACACATGATAAACCCTGCATACCTCCTGCCCCTGGTTAGTATTATACAATGAAAGACTTTCCGTTGATTTTGTCGTTAGAGTGAATTAGTGATGCCAATGTATCTTATTTTTTTCCAGAACACAATCAATGCACAGAAACCCAGTTCAAATGTAACAATAACAAGATCTGTATCGATCGAGTGCGAATGTGCGACGGCAGAAATGACTGTCCAGACGCTAGCGATGAGTCAGAAAGTGTATGCAATCTGCATCATTGCTTGGAAACTGAGCACATGTGAGTAAAATCTTAAATACAATTAAGGCTGAGGCACAGATTACGTAATATTTATTACGTAACAAATATATCACTTTCAATGCAAAATCGAAAATACCTATGCTATAATTATCCTACTAAATCTGACTAATGAAATCAGACGCACACTACGAGGAAAAAGGAACCTAAGCACGCCCAGAGAGGTGAAAATAAAATTGCCCGCCTTGTGCAGTCGTGCGGAGACGAATGCTCGTAAATGAAAGATTTATATGAGAGCTTGCGCCAACGTCGATTGAGCAATCTGTTTGATTGCTAAGCAAGTTTTATGTATTTACAAAACGAACTTTCCTTAAGTTTACTTACGCAAGACATTAAATTAAACTTTAAGTTTACTTCGTAATTTCTTGCTTAAACTTAGGCAAAGTTTGTTTTATAAATACGAAAGACTTGCTATCTTAGCCTCAAACCTAAAAGCTTTTAAGTAAGCACGAGGCTTAGAGCTTCTGTTTAAAACACCACGCCCGCGCCGTTTGCTAGGCCTCGAGTCATTCAGGTCCAGCGTGCGCACTTTTGTTATTCTAGCGTAATGTAAGAGTTAGGAACATAAAGGTATGATTTTCAAATAAAGCATTTATTAGGCTCTAAATTTAAATAAAAACAAAAACTTGAAACATGCAGTTTTTTTAGACTTTGAAATCCTATTAGAGACACATGGGTCTTGTCAACTTATGTCTCAGGGTATCGGGCGCAGCGGCAGTGCCCCTCAGGTCTTTGCGATGTAAAGCTCTGAGTAGTCACTGCAACTGTTACAGACAGGCGTGTAGCTTATCATCAGGCGCACGACTTGTTCGTCCCGTTACTTGATAGTATAAAAAAAATTAATATGTTACATAAGTTTTAACTATTTATTTAATTAATAATTTAATAAGGTTTGCCACTAAATGCATACGGATACGTAAATATAAAAAAAATCATTTCAAACTAGTACTACATATGTATGCATTTCAATTAAAGGTATGCTCATAATTATACGTAAGGGTATTTCTTAGGATAACTAGACTTTCTTTAAAAAAAAATTAAATCTAATTTACATTTAACAATTTGAACAGGCAAATTCAGGCAAAACAAAACACAGAGCTAAAAACAGTTAACTTCACTTGTAAAATATTTCTGGATGACATACCTGAAGCAGTGATAGTACAATACAGTAAACGTATTTCCGTTTGGTTTGTTTTTAATATAAACCATTTTTTTCAGGTGTGCATCAAGGCAATGCATTTTGGCCACATTTCATTGTGACGGAGAGACTGACTGCGCAGACGGTTCCGACGAGATCATTGGTTGCAGTAAGTTTTATCGCAGTATAATAAGACATGTATGGTAACTCCATATAAACGTACGTGACATGCTTGTAACGCCTGGGCCACGAAAATATCGCCACGTTTGAAATGACGCCAGCGTCAATTTGCTGAAAGCGTTAAAACACACTCACGAAGTTTGATAATTCGCTTACAGCGTCTTCGGTGGTGTGGGGAAGTCAAGTAGAATCCTTTTTACGACTTAAATAGCTAATATGGTTTAATATTTTTTGTGGAATATACTTTAAATATGTATTAATAATAATGAATGGCAATGAATAACTATTTGCTTTTAGTAGTAACTGAAATAACAAATAAAAACAAAATGTGTTTCAAACGCGCGCGGAGCGACAGTTTCGTTTAAACTAAGGAACTTTCTCGTACTTACCTACAATTGTTCTGGTCGCTCGCAAAAAACGCGCGTAACACTCGTGCAAATTTAGAACATAGCGAATTTCGCTGCAAGTTGCAGCGCTAATTTGTGGCCTTTTATAAATAAAATCATATATTTAAATTGACGCTCGATACTGACGCTTGTAGCAATAAGCGAATTCGCTAGGAGCGGCTCGTGGCCCTGTGATAAGTATGCACGCCCTCCGCGCGCCGTGTACGAACACACACATTCGCATAATAATGAAAGGCGCGTTGGATGATCAGCACTATGCAATGCGGGATTGTGAGAATGTGTGCGTCCGTACACGCCACGAGGTGAGCTCACACACGTATAGGCCGTGCTGCGACGTTTGTATAGAGTTATCATACTTGTTTTATCATATTTTGGTTTTATGTAATAACATATTTCGTAATCCGTTCATAATTACAGATTTGTTACGTCTTATTAAACTACTTTTCAGGAGAAACGTTTAAAGACTCTACGAACGAATTTAGTCGATAACATTTTTATGGTTAAATAGGAGATCGAATGCTTAGGTGTTCGCGATTGTGACACATTAGCCGCTCACGCGATACATGCAGCCGTAGACGCATACCACACCTCGAGGTGCCGGTGATGATTTTATACCGATTTATCGGATATCGAAGTTATAACAGGTAAAAGAAGTAATATTAATTGCTATTTCGGTAACTACTCTAGCAAACCATAAAGTTTTTAATGCCTGGGTCTGTCATTTAAAAAAATAAACAACTTCAAAAATGCGTCACGACAATCGTGTGTGTTATTGTTTGGGCTGGTGATTTCGGTGTTTATTTATTGAAAACATACCGTACGTAGCGTTTTTTAAGTTTACCCTGAATATAAATGTTTATAAACTATACTTTAAGGAGTAATTTCATGGTAAACGTTAGAACCACTCAAACGGAATATTATCATATTTATCCAAGTACACCAAAAATTTCATTAGTGCTTTTTAAGTGCAGGATTTGCGGTGTATTACTGCATTTTATTTGAGATGTTTTTTTTGGTAGTACGGAGGGTATTTATTTAGCAATGCAGAATAATAATTTTTATTTATAAAAACTTGTATTTCAACTGAATGCTTTTCTAATTTGCGAAACCAAATAGCCGCCATTTTGCGGTAGGACGAGCGCATCGCGTGAGCGGTTAGGAAATAAACTATTTTTTCGGATCTAAATTGCGTATATTTATTATTTCAAACAAACCAACGTTTCGGACTCTTTACAGTTCTTATGGTCACGGCTGCCTGTTCTGTTTGAAAAAACAAGTGACGTATCCGAAAAAGTAGTTGAATTTCACGTAAGAGAGAATTAAATTTTTTCCCGTACTAATACGGTTCATTTTGTTTGGTTCGAGCGACAATATCTTCAATTTTACTATGTATTTTTTCCAAAGTAATTTTTTTAACACTTTCACTATTATACGGAACCAACCAAAGCCATTTCAGATTGTATAGACTCTTAAATATATGAGAGGTATAAATTTCACATTATGCATAATTTCGATACCTCCAATGAACAGTACGCCAACTAAATTTTTGGATCTGTTCTGTTTTTATTTTCTTTTTTGTTTCTTTATTTTATTTCGCGAAATTCGTTTTCTGTAGTTTTGAATTTTGTTTTTTTGTTTCTTTATTTCTTTTTTCTATGACGAATGTTATTTTTGTTCGTTACATTGTTACGGGACGAACAACACGTGCGCCACTCAGAGCTTTAAATTGCAAAGATCTGAGGGGCACTGCCACTACGCCCTGAGATAAGTCCCATGTGCCTGTAAATTCACCAGCACCCTTACCCTTCAAAACCAGACCACAGTATATTATATGTTTTTAACAAAAATTAAGTTGACGTAGTATTCATTGGGGTTATCGATTTGCTTAATGTTGCTTAACGTATTATTTTAATGACTTTCATGTGATACAAATTCTTTTGGCGTATGATCAGATGTGGCTTTAAAGAGAAAGTTTATTAGCCATGTGAAACAGATATGAAATGTTACCAACGATGAAACATTTAATTTTCTTTACAGGTGCAAAAACCTGCAAATTAGATCAATTTCAATGCATAGGCCAACGTAACTGTATCGAATTAAGGCAATTGTGCGATGGGGTACAGGACTGTTCTGATGGCAGCGATGAAGAAGGCTGCTTGGAACCAGAATTTAATTCAGATTTTGTGAGTGCGCTGATGGTAAAACCAAAGTATTTTAAATTTAGAAAGAGAGATTTTAGAGAATTTTTACGTTCCAAAATTGTTTCATTTAAAAACGAACACGTATTTAAGCTTCGTTCATCATCATTATCACTAACTCACTGCTGGGCACGGGCCTACTCTCAGGCGAGGGTTTAGGCCATAGTCCGCCATGTTGGTCTAATGCGGGTTGGGGATTTCCATGGGATTTTACACGTTTTCTGAAGGTTGTAAATCTTTTTCTACGTTTAGGTTTTATAACGATGCTGACCTTCATTGAAAAGCTCATGCTTTTGAAATTTCGCACGTCGGACTTTCTCACATTCGGTGCTCTCGGCCTAATTACCGTAGCCACTTCGGTAATCTGAGCCTAATTACCGTAGCCATTGTTTTTTCTCACTTATTATATCGTATTACATTGAAATATGAATAACTTTAAGCTAAACTATATGTCTAAATATCATTGGAATAAACAAAATAGCTTTCGTACTATTAAGACGATAATTAGATCTAATTACCGTAGCCGTGGATACAGTAATTCGAAAGTTCAAACATTTTCAAGAAAACATAAAAACAAAATGTATAAAGAATAAGTATAACAATAAAACTTTGATTTTAATTTTCTTCACTTTTTGTAATGAATTCAAAATATAAATTATTACACTGTTCTTTTGACAGCTGTGATAAATTATAAGAAAGAATTGAAGTTATTTTTAATCATTACTACTAACCAAATATTAAAAAACCTACTTTAAATGTATTTAAAAAAAATCTTGAATGGCACTTTTATTAGTAGAAACAAACCAAATGTAGCAAAATATACAAATAATAATTTTATTTAGCTGCGTCAGAAACAGTCAGTTTTTCTTAAAAATGTTTGCACTTTCTAATTACCGTATCCATGGCTACGGTAATTAGATCTAATTACCGTTTCCATAAAATATTTGTTTCTTAATAACTCGAAAACTACTTTGTCTATTCTACTGCCGTTAGACATATTGATAGTTAAGCTTAAAGTTGTTCGTATTTCAATGGGTACATTAAGCGAGATAAAACAATGGCTACGGTAATTAGGGTGAGGACACCGAAATGGCTACGATAATTAGGCTGAGAACGTCGGATGTGAGAATGACCGACATCAAGTTCCGAGAATCTCAGAGGTGCGAGCCCGGAGTCGAACCCACAGCCTCTGCTTGAGTCGCAAAACAATTGGGTTACTATAACTTAATTAGAGTTTAGTTCACACGCTTCCCATTCATATGCTTACCCACCATCCTATTATTTTTACCCTTGCTGTAATAAGGCCACATCAGCAAAATGACAACGACTTCAAAAAAAAAAGGAGGAGGTTCTTAATTTGTTTGAATTTTTTTGTATGAATGTTACGCGATAACTCTATTTATCTACACACATATCATAAACTCTCTATAATGTGTTCAAAACCCGCAAATTACGACCAGCTTAAAGGTAAACTGTTTTGTTAGAACAAATTTCTTATCTGTGAAAATGTTATTATTGCTTCATAATAACATCGAATTCGGTGTTATTATTACATTAAAATTTCGAAGATCTCTGAAAAACAAAACAATTTGATTTGACCTCAATTCTAATGTCAGTCGAGATGAAGTTTTATTCGAAATGTAACGTCAATAGCAAACAATTTTGACAATTTCACACGTTACTTGATATCGAACGATATGATAGTTGGGGCCGATTCTAGTTTGTCTATGAATTAAAAATAAAAACTACGGTTGTGTGACATGCGTGAGAAAAGTTTTTATTTGCCGCCATTTCGCCAGTCGTAACATGCGGTTCCTGAACACATCACAGAGAGCTTATAGTATGTGTGTAGATAAAGAAGTGTATGTAACTGTTCATAATTAGGCTTTAAACACTTGTGTGATGTTTTTATGAAAATCGCCTGTCGGCTCGTTTTATAAACCTACTTTCATTATGTAATAGTCACATAAGCTAGTATTGTGAACCGAGTTTGATGATACTTTTTTTGTTGGAAAGAGGGTACCTCCTTATTGGTCCATATATAAATTTGAAAAAATATTCCACCTCGAAAGGTGGCAAATTAGTGGATTAATCCGGTTTCGCGTACTTACCTGTAACCGATTTTAAAAAGAAATCGAATTATCGCGTAACATACACACAAAAAAATACAATCGAATTGTGAAGCTCCTTCTTTTTTCATGTCGGCCAAAAAGCACATTTGACGTATGATCATGTGGCTTTATTATACCAAGGGTATGTATCACTCATCTGCTTTCCCATTTATACTAAACACAACCATTCGCCTACGCTTCACTATCATCCCATGTACCTACCTGCGCTTAGCTACCATCGTCATGCTTCAACAGGTGGAGACCGAAAACTGTGCACAATGGGAGTTCGCTTGCGAAATGAACAGAAGCATTTGCTTGCCGATTACCCTTCGGTTTGAATATTATTATAAAGCATGAGTATTTTATGTGTGTGCTTTGGTGACGGTCACAGGTCTTAGACCGGTTACACACCGCGACTTTTAGCGGCGCTGCAAACGCGCGACTGAATCCCAAGTGTAGTGATGCAATCGCGCGTTTGTATCGATGCAGTCGCGCGATTGCATCGCGTTTGCATCGCTGCTTAAAATCGCGCGCGCGTGTATAAATATAGACGATTAGCGACTGTATCGCTACTGCATCGCGTTTGCATCGCTGCTAAAAGCCGCCGTGTGTAACCGTTCTTAGAGTTAATAAATAGTGTAAATAATCCTTATAATGAATTTGTCGTTGGCCTTGTGATTGTAGTAATTAAATTAACGGATTAACCCACGTTTTTATTGAATTTTTCGACTCATCCGTAGAACAAAGACCTATGTGAGACTTCTTATTCTTAGGATATTGTACAATTCGTTAGTTGTTCTTCGCTGTGGATACCAAATCAGCCGTTGTTTAATTTTATATTTCCGAAACGCAATAAGATATAAAAATTCTGAAAACACCTATAGATAGGTCTTAGTTTAGATAACGAGATTATGTATTTATCCTATTTTCGCTGTATAATCACATCGGACTCTGTTCTTCGGATGAGTCGTTTTGTTTGACATATTTCGAAACAGTCCGTGGTCCTTAGTGATGAGTTTCCGTGGCGGTGTGACTCGACGAAAACTGTCTGTCAAAGCTCTTACAGCGCGGTCACTAAGTATCTACGGTCGCGGGCGTGGGAGTAGAGATGGTTAATATAATATATAGTTCAAATTATAACGTTAAATAAAAAAATAATTATAGCAATTATAATTTGAAAGACAAAAAGGTGCTAAAATTATAACGAACTTTTTTTCACTTTGTATTGGAGTACGTTAAGAAAATGAAACCAAATGCCATCTAGCGACTTAATTTTACAATATTTCAATGCCATACCGTCAATTTATCCGTGCTTTACTTACGCAGCTAACAAACAAAATTCTTCTTCGTCCTGAGTTATCTCCCTTAATATTTCAAAGATGGCACTATATTCTATGTGAAAGTTGCGGCTTTTGTCATTGGTTGAAACAATTATAACGTGAAATACTTTCACATATTATTTGTAGCATTTAACGTTTGGTGCGAAACGCGAAATAAGTTAAATTAAGATATAATTAAGTATTTGGATTTATTTAGTTTTAGTTTAGCGTTTGTTTAATTAATAAGTCGTTGTAATAAAGTATGTAAAAGTACGAGTGTGTGCGTTATTATTAATTATTATGAGTGTAATTTACTGTAAATAACTAGTGTAAAGTTTTGTGGAAATTGTAAATAGTAAATTATTAAAGTATGAAGGGAAGCTCATTGATTTATCGTCTATAACCTGTAACCACCATTGTGTAATAGTTACAAAATAAATGAAGTCGGTCGTAACGAACCATAAAAACTGTAAACTATTCTCTAAATAGACCATAGATGCTATACTTAACAAGTTAGCACACGTCAACTATTTCACGTTTCTTTCCATTCGTTACATTATCACACGACCTTGAGCAGCTAAAAATTATAATTTTAGCACTTTAACTAGCGCGCTATAAAAATTTAGCATTTAGCGTGCTATGCGAATATAGCAGTTAATCTCATCTCTACGTGGAAAACGGAGGCAAGCAACCATAGCAACTATCCTCATTTGCTTCATTCTTATTGGAACCCCTAAAGTATCATTCAATACTAGCCACTGATAATGACGAAATTTTTTGAGACAGACACAAAGGAAAATTCTTTTGTGTTTGTCATAAAATCGACTCATCCGAAGAACAGAGTCCGATGTGATTAAATAGCGAAAAGAGAAAAAGTACGTTACGAGAATAATTTGTCAAACTAAGGCCTACGTAAAGGTGTTTTGAGAATTTATTTATTTGTTTATTTATTGTTTTTTATTTGCTTTGGCAATGAAATAAAATCATAGTTATAATGAAGGCATTACAAAATTAGTTTTGTTGAACACAAATATCACATTATTATATTCAGCTGAAGAAAACTAAGAAATAATTTTCATAAATTCCTAAGTCGTACGATTAAGGAATTTTCCACCAGTAGGTACGACTTAAACGACACTTTCAAAAATTCAAATCAAAATTACTGATATAACATAAAATGCCTCCGTGGCCGAACGGTTACCATGCCGGACTGCCACGCAGAGGTCCCAGGTTCGTTTCCCGGGCCGGGAGAAATGTTTGTATGGCCTCCATTTATTTCTCTCGTGAGTTTGGGTGTAATTTGTGGTTGTCTATATGTGTGTGTTTCCCTAGTGCGGGGCTATGTTGAGTGTGTGCGTTATTTATTTATTATTTATAAAAAAAATCTGTCGTTTGTTTGTGCTTAAATAAATGCTAAAATACGTCAAAAATAGACGAATGCCAAAAAAATAAGTTTGCCACCTTTGCCGCATATTGCTCCTTGGAATAGCTTCCAAATGAATGAGAAATTTTAAAGAAAACAGTGTAAAAACTTACTTTTTAATATTTTTCCCAACACGAACGACGGCCGGCCGCCGGTTTGTTTTTGTTTACTCGCTTAACTTAGTAGTTCAAATTTATAATACTAGATATTACTTCCCACGCATGTGAGATCAGATATCGCTGGAGTCCGACTTAGGCGGTGGTACGACTTAGGCAACCTTACCCTATTTCCATTTGCGGTATTTAACGGTGACCGGTGGTTTGATCACGTGTTTTGTCATATTAAAAAAATCTTACCTTTTTTATATAACACCAAGTGACGGGACCAACAAGTCATGCGCCTGGTAGTAAGCGACACGCCTATCCATAATATGTACTCGAGTAGTGGTTGTTTTTATAGTAGTGGGTAAGCATATGTAAGTAAACGGGTTAGCCAGTTTTGTTACGAGCTCACGTCAATGAATCGCGGTGTACGGATAAACCTATTCAGGTTTTTGTTGTACCGCTATGTTTTAATTTATAAGTTTTCTTTTTGTAAAAAAAAAAATAATAAATATAAGAAAAATAACAGTTGCAGTGCCACTTAGAGCATTAAATTGCAAAGATCTTAGGGGCACTGCCGCTGCGCCCGTCACCCTGAGACTTAAGTTGAGAAGTCCCAAAATGTGCCTTCAATTTCACCAGCACCCTTACTCTTCCAAACCGGAACGCACATTACTGCTTGGCGGCAGAAATAGGTAAGGTGGCAGTACTTCCTTGGACGAATTTTTTCACAAGAAGTTCAACTGCTACTAAAAAACTAACTTTTGATTCATGATTAAAGTGAGTCATAAATTCTGGAAGTGAAAAGTTTCCGTTTTCTCACAGGTGCAACGGTAAAACAAATTGTCCAGGCAACACAGACGAGTTGAATTGTCACAGGGATATGTATTGCAACCGGGGCACCATGTTCCGTTGTCAAGAAGAAAAGATGGCGTGTATCCATTTTAATCGGGTCTGCGATGGACACAAGGATTGCATTGATTCGTCTGATGAAAATATTGAAGCGTGTCTTCTTGGTTAGTACAGTTTGAATACCGCGGCTCAGGCATGCATCTTTTATGACGTGCTGCACGGCGAGAATAGCACTGTCTCGAGCTTTATGTCGCTCTCGCGGAAGTCGCGCCCTTTGGACGCGAGAGATAGAACAATAGACCTATTATCAAAGTCCATAATTCCTCTTATGGTCTGTTTGTCCATGGGAGTGGAACAATTTTTGCCTCACCCGTTTCTTACTCTCATCACTCAGGTTATTATATAAGTACACCGAGTATATAACCAGAAATAGAGACGAAATAAGGCCATCCATCCCTGGCAACTCATCAGGTAAATAGACCTTATATCACTTTTAAATATCAACTCTCTTTTGCGCTAAAATTACAAATTAGAAAACTGAAATAGTACAGCGCCAACAACTGACCTGCATGTGCGTCTCCGTATATTCCAAAAATATTCTGTATTTCTTGTAATAAACATAATATCTCTAACAATGGGGGCTGTTCCAATCGGTGGTGTGGGAAAAACAGCAAAACATCTAATTACAAAACAAACGGAATCACATTTCATCGGTAATTAAATATGTAATTTTGCAATTTTCGTCATTTATAGCGAAGCTCAAGTTAAACTGGTCGTTTGAAGTGAAACCGTCATTTGTTTCGAATTCGGGCTGGCCGCAATCGGACCGCAGTTGTCACAGTAATGATTTGGCAGAAAAGTTTTCAAACAAATTAAATGACATTTCGTCTCTATTGCTGGTTATATACTCTATATATCTATAAGTACTACTTGGTGCCCGCCGTGTACAGACGCGCACATTCGGATAATCTCGCGATGCACTCGAGTCGCAAAGCGCGGTTTGCACCATTCATTGTAGAATTAGAATTTATTGTCTCGGTGTTTGCAATATTTTTCCTTGTCAAATTTATATATTTTTTATTTATAGTTTATATTAAATGTATCGCTACGTATATGCAAACTCGCATTTAACTTCTAGTCCCATTGACTAAAATATAGAATAAAATATAGATAGCATACCACACAGCAAATTAGCTCCTAATTATTGTTCTGTTTTTTTTTACACAAAAGCCTATGAACCATTGACCACGTATACTAAAACGTTTAATCTAAATCAGACGATTGCAGTCATTCATTTTATCAAATCACATCGCACCCTTAGTAATATAAGGGCACAATCCAAAAAAAGTAGATTTTTGGGAAATTTGGGAATTGATAGGGACTTAAATAATAAATGGGATCAAACTTATATAGCTCCATATTTCTGTTATATTTTTTTGTACTATATGGGTCTAACTTGAAAGTGTTTTTTTAACTTGCTTGAAACTTATGGAATTTATTTATATTTTTTTTTTATTGCTATTTATAATACATTTATCAAAGAACAAATCTGCCAAATTTCATATTTATAACTTAAATGATAAGCATGTTATTTGAAAAAATAGGTGTAATGTAGGAATCCAGAATCTTAATACGCGATTTCCCAAAAATCTACTTTTTTTGGATTGTGCCCTTATATTACTAAGTGTGCGACATGTTCTGAGCCTCTACCATGAGTTTACAGTTACAGGTGTCGCTAGCGACAGCGTGAAATGTTTGTATACAAAATGTTGTTCCTTCTTGTGACCGCTAGGGGCGCTGTATAATTTTACATACAAAATTGTGAAGTAATTTCGGTCGCTAGCGACAACTGTCACAGTAAACTCATAGTAGAGGTACTGCGTACGAACATTGTTATAATAATTCGACTTTTATTTACCCTCTAAATATTTATACTGTGTGCATATTGTGTTACATACAAAGTAAAGACTGTCTTTTTCAGTAAACCGGACTTTAAAGCGCTATCCGTTGGTGTACAAAGAGGAATGCCGAGATGGTTACCACTGTAACAGTGGACAGTGCATCGCATGGAAAGCAGTGTGTGATGGATCGTTTGATTGCTATGACGAATCGGATGAAGGACCCATGTGCTGTTAGTTAAAATTCATGATTTCACTGTTAGAGTCTTTTGTAAGACTTAATGACGGGCTTGGTTCTTCTTAGTTGCTATTGCTGATAGGGGCAAACGAGGAAAAAATTCAATTATAAACTTACCCTAGGGCAGCAATACTCACCTGACCTGCGGGTCACGTGCGGCATGCGGAAGATTATTTTTAAAACTTGTTGGAGTTTTCTAGGTTTTTAAAACATTGACCGAGACGCGCGAGAACAATCATACAAAGAAAATCCCAGGAACATAGAAAACAAACTATAAACACAATTAGCTGCATTGGCATATTTGATTATGCAAGGTGATTTCATGAATTTATCGAGTTTAAAAACAATACGAACATCTAAAAAAAAAAAGGAAAGGAATACACCGGATTTTAGTAACTGGCACCTGAAAAATATACAGTTTGTAAAAAAATGTGCCCATCTGTTGCGCACGTTGTTTACATCATCGTATATTTGTGAATGATCGTATTTTAAACTGAAATATGTTAAAATATATTATATAGAAACCGGCTTACTAATTCTCACCAGTAGCATGTAGCAATTAAAAAATAAGATCATCACACTAATGTCGCGGCGAAGGTAAAAGATGGTTAAGTGAGATATTAAAATTTAGACAAATTAATTGATAATATTAACATCATATCGCACACTGAGTATGATAACGTTACTACATAAAAAACTGTTTTTTTTTATTTGTAACGCCATCTTGGATTTGGGAACACGAACTTTGTAATGCAAAAACGCGCGATACCGACATTTTTTTGGTAGTGACCAAAGATCATTGAGTTGTCAAACAATTTAGTAGTAACTCCGTGAAGAACATCGTCATTTTTCGTTTTGCATTAAGACTAATACAGTACAGGATTGCTGAGCCAGATCTACGCAGGATATTATAATTACTCGAGGCCCTTGATCTTGATCAGCGCCACTACTATACTGCCCCTATAAAAAGTTATCATCATCCGTAGTTAATGTAGTAGTTAGGTAGTTCAATTACATTAATTACTACATAAATAACACAAAAACTGACTTATAAATGAGCCCTTTACTTCTGTTTAAGTCAAGTATTAAAAGTCACATTGAAGTTAGTTATTGCCCTTTATATGCAAAAAATATATAATTAATAATTTTTTCATATATATTTTTTTTTTGCTTAAAAATACTAATTAAACTACAATGAAAGTTTCTGTGTATTTGGAAAAATGTTTCAGGGAAGCACGTTTTAGGTTTTAACCATTGACTTACAATTATATGGACGTCGGGTCCGCGCTAAAAAGTGTCCGAACTTATAGGGCGTTAAAATCGTATACAGAGCGTCATTCACGCTTTGGTCTTCGTTTGTTTGACTGACAGCGAAGCAAGCAAAATTAGACAGTACTGCGATGACATTACAATTTAAAAGCTTTTTCATATTCCTTTACATGTCACTTCGTTTAAATAGGTTGACTTGGGACATTTTTTTCGTGGTTTTTGTATTAGACCCGTCGTCCATTTATTTGTAAGTAAATGGTTTTAACGAATATTTTACGTTCGAACATTCTGTTTTAAGATTCTCAGTTTTGGTTTTTATTAAGTTTAAATTTTAAAATTGAACTTAAAACAGTACTTAAATTTTTAAAACAGTAGAGAAAAACTAAAACATAGTCCCCAGAAAAACAAATTGAAATGGCGCTTTCGCCCTTTCTACAATATATCGCCGATATGGATAATTTTGGTTTTATTTATATATAAATGCGGTAGCACCGCCTAGATAGCATCAACTTAGAACTCTTTAGCGCCCACTGGGTTCACATTACACCACTTTGGGAAACTATGACTTAAACTTTGAGTCCATAGACGTCGTCGCAAACCTAGCGGTGTCGTAAATCCAATACATTTCAATTTCCACAGCATCAGCCTGCGAAAACAACACCTGCTCCTACACTTGCCAACCGACCCCACACGGCCCGTCCTGCAAATGTCCTGTTGGATTCCAACCAGGCTCAGACCTGCACTCTTGTGTGGACGTGGATGAATGTCTCAACGACGCCTGCTCTCAGATCTGTCGAAATACTCCAGGGTCATTTTTGTGCTCGTGTCACCGAGGATATGCTATAGGGTTGGTTCCAGTTATTAATTTTCATCCTTTTCATGATATGATGTTATCACGAAAATTGCCGAACGCTATCGATCAGTTCATCTCAACCAGGGAGTCGATTCAGAAACCTTACGATAACTCAGTTGTTGACCGGTACGATTTGATATCGTACGATTTCTTTTCATTTTTATTCACAACACCCGAATCGAAATGACGTCACACCCGTACGATTACTCGAACTTCTCGACCGGCAAAGGCTACAAACGTTATTCAGGACACAGTTATCGAATTAAAGTTACACGGAACGTCCTATTGTTTACAAAGCAAATATGTAATAAGCAAATCTCTTATTATTTTAAATAAAGTCTTGATTTGTTCAATTTTATTAATTATTTTAATGCAAGACTAATGCGTTCCTATTCTATTTTAGGCCTTTAAAGTGTTAAAAATGTACACAAAAGGATTTTAATTTTTCTTATAATCTATTTCACCGACTAACTCCGTAAACGCTGTTGGATAACGATATTTTATCCGAATCGAACGTTTAAGTCGAATGTTCTGAATAGCTCGGAAAACGCCCTTCGATTCGGGAACGATATCCAATCGAACGATTCGGTTAAAATATCGAAGAGTTCTGAATCGGGGGTCCTCATCATCTTTACATAAGAAGTCTCTTTCGCAGCTATGACCGCCGTTCTTGCAAAGCTACAAAGAGGAACATGTCTATCCTGTACGTGTCAGGCAACTCCGTGCGGTCGATTTCAGCTGACGGGTACACCACCGTTGAGTACACTGATCATAACACTGGTAGCATCAGCGATATGGATTACAATGTCAGGTGAAGACTAGAATTACATTGTTGTTTTAGCATTAGCAGACCATAAGACGAAAGTCAGCCAGGGTAGCATTGATGTTCTATAATTTCAAGCTCGGTGATACCAAAAAGAATGTAATGTACTTTTTAACCGAATTAAAAAAAAGGAGGATGTTATACCGTCGGCTGTATGTATGTTTTATGTATATATTCCGATTTCTACGTCAATTGTGGACCGATTTTGAAAATTCTTTTTTTTATTTTATATTATTTTCATTTATTAAATATTATTTTTTAATTAATTATATAATTTCTAAGTTTTAGAGTAGCAAGTTCATTTATATTTTATTTATTTTTCGAGGGTATATTAATTCCTACTTTACTATTCATTATTGGGGTTTAAATCAACCTGAACGAATTCAAGCTGGGGTATATTTATTATGACCTGGAAAGACAAAATATCAATGATACAAGTTTTTCTATGGCCTGCGGTTTATTTCCAGGTCATGTGCTACTGATTTATTTTAATCGACTTAAAAAAAGGAGGAGGTTCTCAATTCGACTGTATTGTTATTTAGTATATACATCGGCGAAAATTATTGAATCTGCAATGTCAAAAAGACTGATTGCATTCCTTGAAAAGTTTAGGGTGATACATGATAGTCAACACGGTTTTCGCAAAAATAGAACAACGATCTTAGCTATATATAAGTATGTACAAAAAATTCTAGACATAATACATGATAAAAAATATGCTGTCGGCCTGCTACTCGACATGAGCAAGGCTTACGACAGAGTAAATTACAAGATTTTACTTGACAAACTCTATGGCCTTGGTATAAGAGGCATAGCTTTTGATTGGTTCCGGTCGTACCTCCGGAATAGATCTCAGTGTGTTGAAATTGAAAACATCAACTTTGATACAGGTAGAATTGAACATGTTAGGTCTGATGCAATCTCTACCATAGGATCGATTCCTCAGGGGAGTGTACTGGGCTGTGTTCTGTTTTTAGTATATGTAAACGACCTCCCCCCATCGATACCATTTGACAGTGTATTGTTTGCGGATGACGTCTCTATAATTTTGTCTAGCACATGTGTCAATACATTAAAGAGCGATTTGGATGTTGTGCTGGATTCGATTGCGGAATGGCTTGATCGTAACAATCTGGAATTAAACCTTAAAAAAACAAAGTTGATACAATTTAGGCCCTACCAAAAAAAAGCTTTAGATTTTAAATATCAATACAAATTAAATAAATTAGAAATTGTGGATTCGGTTACAATGTTGGGTGTCGACATAGACTCACACTTAAATTGGAAACCCCATATCCAAAAACTTTCAAACTGTTTGTCGTCATTCGTGTATGCCCTTAGGCATTTAAAGTGTGTTACAAATAAAAAAACAGCCCTCTCTGCGTATTATGCGTTTGCTCAGTCACGACTGGCTTACGGGATTGTACTGTAGGGGAACTGCTGTACCTGCCAGCAAGTTTTCGTCCTACAGAAAAAAATTATAAGAATACTAACAAATATACGCCAAACGGAATCCTGTAAGCCTTACTTTATAAAATTAAATATACTTACTCTTACTTGCGTATACATTTTTGAATCTAGTAAATTTGTTAAAAAATTTGAATACTTGTACACTCCAGTAAATTTAATACGACGTAAAAACCGTTATCAAAATAAACTTAAACTTCCTTTTTCTGACTTAAAATTATTTTCTTGCGCTCCACATTCAATGTTAATAAAAATATATAACCACATACCTAATTATATTAAAAATTTGGAAAAAAAAACGGATTTCGAAAAACAATTGAAGGATTTCTTGACAAAAAAAAAGTTACTATAATATATCCGAATTTTTCGAAGATAAGTGGGATACCTGAGACATACCTAGAGATAAAGCACTTGTAACTGTATATAATATTCCTAATGAATGCTTGTAATACTTGAAATTATAATAATTTTTAGATGTAAATTATTGTCCACAATTAATTAATTAATACGTAAATTATAATTTATTTTAAAATAAAAATGTATTGCAATTATAACGTCAATATTAAGTAGTATTTAGTAATAATTAAAAATAGATGTAATATAATAAGCTGTATAAATGAACTACGTTCAAGGTTACAATATGTAAATTGTAGCCTTATACTTGCCACACCCTTACAGGGTATTACATGTATGTACCAAATAAATGTATAAGTGTAATCTGTACCATACATGTAAAATGCAAAGTAAATAAATAAAAATAAAGTATCTATGTTACGCGATAACTCCGGTATTTGTGAACCTATTTTGTGGATTCTTTTTGTGGGAAAGAGGTTACCTCAGTATTGGTCCCATTTAAATTTGAAGGAAATATTCCACGCCTAAGGGTGGCAAAACTAGGGGATAGTACACTTTCCGGTAACCGATTTCAATAAAATAGATGTAATTCCATGAACTTTTGAGTTCGGTTTTTTTAGTACTCAGTACTGAGTTTAATTTAAATATAAGTGCGCATTTGTTCTCCACCTCTCCTGATGAAAAGCGACAACGAGGTCGACAATAGAGCATGCACACCTAAATAATGCCTATTCACTATCGCCTGGAAAAGGCCCAACATATAGGTAGCGTTCAGGGAATAAGTCAGCATTTCCACCCACTCCATATTCTGCTATTAGAAACTAAGATTTTTGCTAAACTAGTCCTAGGTGCTTTTATATAAAAAAAAGTGTAATTTCTGGTAACTGGTAGACGTTTAGTGAAAGTAGACTAATCGAGAAAGAAGATCGATGGTTCCGAAGGCTGTATTTAAAACTAGGCCGCAAATAAGCAAAATGACCACTTTTCAGGAGAGAGATTCAAAGATTCTAGCAAGAAATTAGTTCATAACTTTTTTTTATGCCTATCTATACCACCTCAAAAGAACTACATTATGCAAATCGATACCTCCAACTCTACGCCAACTTTATTTTTTGGTCATTTTCTGTTATTTTTATAAACAGCCATATTTATTTACTAATATTATAGTCCCCGAATTTTGTCAAAAAACATATAAAGAAAAAACAAAATTCCAAAAATACAGAAAACGAATTTTGCGAAAAAAATAAGGAAACGAAAAACAAAATAAAAACAGAATGGGTCCAAAAATTAAGTTCGCGTAGATCGAAATTATGCATTATATAAAATTTATAACTTTATTATTTAAGAGTCTATACAACCTCAAATGGGTTTGGTTGATTTCGCATAACAGTCAAAGTGTTGAATCAATCACTATGTAAAAAAATATATAGTAAAATTGATTCCTGAAAATTTTCACGATAGAAAAAAAACACAAATTCACACCGAAATTGTACAAGAAAACCACTATATTGAATAGGTACTTTACATATACCAATGATTTTTTTTTTATATCAACTGAACTAAATAGAACACGTGTACTATACGATATATATTTTTCAAATGGCTTACATTTGGTTTGTAAAAAAATAAATTCTGAAATAAAACCAGCCCCTCAATCCAAACAAAATGAACCGTATTAGTACGGGAAAATTTTGAATTCGACTCATAAATAGGAGAGTTATAAAATTTTTGCCTAGGTGTATACATAATTTGGTTCATGTAGTTTCATGTGGTTTTATTATACCTACCAAGGATACGAATTTACATAAGCGTCCTTTCAGGATGAAAAAGTTGTACATAACATCAGCAGAGGCACGAAAATTGGTCGAAGCGAACACCACAAACAACGAAACCATCATCACTAATGTCGGTCGTCCTTCCAAGGTATGCCTACGAAACTGTAAGGGATGCTATATCCCGAATTTTAAATATTGGTTTCTCTTCATCATTCGGTGTCACCAAAAGTGTTTAACGTTTAAGCGAAAATTTTAAAATGTTCTAAATTTTTTGTACATATCGATCGAGTTCTTAGGTTTTCGCGATTATTACGCATTATGAAACTATTGTTTCGGATCTTATCGCGTATATTTGTTTTTTTCAAACAAATTCATGATCACGGGATAGTCAACCTTTAGTTGGTTTGAAAAAATAAAACAAGACTGCAATCCGAAAAATGGGTTACCTACTTGAGATAAAATGTTACGTCGTCCCATGGATTTTTTTTTATAGTCTTCAAGGTTAATATGGAGAATCGGACTGGTTCTCGCAACCTCCATGACGCAGTAACGTCTGTGTTGCAATCTTTAACAGCGTCGCTGTCAACAAGATTTCGATCCGAAAAGCAGCTTCATTTCCAATTTTTGAGCAAATTTCTGTAAGTCTCATTTGATTCTAAATTTCAAATTTAGACTTACAGAAATTTACAAATGTAAGGCTTACAAATTGGATCAAACATTGAAAATAAATCAGCAGCCTGCTCGTTCACACCTTGAAATGTAAAAAAACATACAAAATACGACATACAGGTAACTAAATTTTTCGAGAAATCACTTTTTTGGCTGTTCATCGTTAGAGCAAATGTTCTTTCGAGATTTTGATGCATCGAGGTGGCAAACCTTAGATCTCACGGTTCATAGGTCAGACGGACAATCGAGCCAACGTTTTGAAGCAATTAGTGTTCGATCAAACGGCATTTTATCTTATATAAGTAAGGAACCCATTTTTCGGATTGCAGTCTTGTTTTATTTTTTCAAACCAACAAAAGGCTGACTATCCCGTGACCATGAATTTGTTTGAACAAAAACAAATAGACGCGATTTAGATCGGAAAAATAGTTTCATATCCATTGCGTAACAATCGTAAGAATTCGATTTGCTCAGAAATTCCAACAGACGTGAATCATTATTAATACAAATACAAAGATCGAACACTCAGAAAAAACACTCAGAAAAAATTCCGGATCGAAGGAGTTTTTTCTGAGTATTCGATCTTTGTATTAATAATTATAACAAACTAATGGAGTAATTTTCCAAAAAATAATTGAATATCAATTCAATAAAAATTTAATTAAACGTGAATCAGTTTCAACGATTTGTGGAGGAAAGGGAATTTAAAAAATATACATATAACTTACATATATGTCTCTTGGGTCATTAATGTTGTTCTAAAATCGTCCTTCACATTGCAGATAGCTGTAGACTGGATAACAGACAACGTCTATTTCGTGGATAGCACACCGTCTGCAAGACTAATGAGAGTTTGCAACGTTAAGCAGAAATTGTGTGCTCGCTTGCAAAAACTACCTAATGCCGAGGTAAAAAATAGTATAATCGCTCAGTTTCCCTAAAAGGCAAAGTCGTGTAAAGCTCAAAAGGTGAAAATAACGATAGTTTACGAAAAGTGACCAAAATAAACTTTTTTTATTGTAAGAATAAGTGCGCATTTCTGCCGCCCTTACTTGAAAAGGTGTTTGTGACTAAAACTCAAAACCGAGAAAACAGAACAAAGAAATGAAATTATAAAAAATATCTCTTTTCTCTTGCGGTAACTTCATACCTTATCCACCTAGAAAAAATTAGTGACAGATCGGCCTTTTTGACTGATCACGGTAAAAAACTGACACTGACTCAAGCCTAGTGGCCGCCATTATGAAATAATATTAATAACAATTTTTCGAAAAAATGTCACGTCCTTTCAACTAACGGCGGCAGATTTGACCTTCACATCACCTGATGGAATGTGACAATGTAGAGGTGTAAACACTTGATGCGAATCTTTGGCATATCTACAACATAGAGTTGGAACCCTTGCCTTCGTCTAGTCTTCCGATGATAGAAAGGGGATGACGGAATAATTTCGTGGAATTCCGTCGCACGTTCTCCGTGCTATATCATGTAGAATACTTATAAGCAGGCAACTTTACGGCGGTGTTAAAGGCTTTGCATCTTCGCCTCTACTAAATCCGATCACCGATAAGGCTCTTGACAGGCTTCTGGATGGAAACCAGTGTGGCCAGTGATATGGTATGCATTACAGGTAACAGCACTGGTAGTAGATCCAGCACATCGCCGCATGTTCTACTGCGTCACAAAAGACTTTGAGTCCGTTATTTGGTCTGCAACTCTCTCAGGACAGAAGGTCATGGATATAGCCACAGTGCACAATTGTACTGGATTAGCTGTGGATTCTTTTAAGAAGATCGTGTACATCGCTGAAACTGGTCCCGCTCATATTTTGTGGATGGACTATGAAGGTGGACAACTGTAAGTTTTTCATCGTGTAATAAATCGGTTATATTATATTATTATATATTATTAATCTGCGGTGGCCCGTGTGGAAGTCCTTGAATCGACTTCCTTCCTAAGTTAGCTAAGTCTAACCCGATATGTCAGTGGTTCCCCACGACAGTTCATGAAGCACTTGGTCGTGTGCCCACCGTACCCTAACACCTGTACGAGGGAAGATCTCTACGCGGCCATGGATAACACAATCAAGGTGGCAACTTGCTGTTTAAAGTCAATATAGTCCTAGAAGTATCGACACGATACGAGAAAGATCGTGTTATGCTATTAGATTAAGTAGCACGTTAACTTCTTCCCGTGGGTACCGTTAGTTACCAACTTAGAGTAAATAACCAGAAACTCATCAAGCAAATACGCCTTATATCACTTCTAATATCAACTCTCGTTTGCTCTGAAATCACAAATAAGAAAACTGAAATAGTACAGCGCCAACAACTAACCTGTGTGTACGTCTCCGTATACTCCAAAAATATTCTGTATTTATTGTAATAAAGATAATATCTCCAACAATGGGGGCTTTTCCATTCGGTGGTCTGGGAAAAACAGCAAAATATCTAATTCCAATATAAACGGAATCCCATTTCATCGGTAATTAAATATTAAATGTGTAAAGCGTGGTAACTGGGCGGTACCGCAAGGCGGCCGCACGAAAACTTTCGTGTCGTGTAACTGGGCGCTTAGGTCACCACGGCTTTAATCTTTTGACCGCAACTGATAAAAACTAGTTTTGGTCCCTAGACACCAAGCCTATATAGTGATATGACATGTTATAAATTTCCGCCTGATATTAATTCCATTCTCCTAAGTCAAAGAAAAACATACCTGAACATAAAATGCAACTATGAATCCATATTTAACTAGAATATACATTTGACGCAAATAATATTTTAATATTTACTTATTACTTTCAATTGAAAATGAAACGGTTTCATTGACGCTTTAAGACGTATCAGCCAAGTTAATGTAAGACACTTTAAAGCGTCCATGGCGGTCAAACAGTAGAATAAATCTGTTAAATGGGCAAAGCGATGACTATAGATAGATATGGCTGTAGGTGCATTCCTATAGCCAAACCCTCTTGCAATAGGAAAACAAATCACAAGAAACCATATCATATTTGAATAGACTTCTCCAGTTAATACATGGTAATTTGGATGTAGAATTGGTACAAAATAATCAGTGTCTGCACTAAATTTCAGGAAAATGTTCATATCAGACGATCCCTATCTACAAGCACCACATGACCTCGCAATATATGAAGACCATATATATTTCCTAGTCGCGAACTCGTTCAAACTGAGCCGCTGCATGCTGTATTCCACAAAGCGGTGCGAACATTACTTGCAAAGAGTTTTCGACGCTAACACGTTCGTAATAAGACACGAAAGCGTGCAAAGGGATGATGTTGAGGACTTGTGTAGTGATCAGCAGTGTCAAAATATATGTGTTCTGGATGATAAAGGAGCAGCCTGTCTATGTGACAATGGGAGTGTAGAGAAAAATGGCGCTTGTCCCGAAGTTGATTCTTCTCTGGTACGTATTGATTTGGTAATGTTGCTCGTCAATTTAATATGAATTTCGAAATATTTTATATCGGCCTTTTATCTTTAATCTCAACATATTTCACTTGTAATACAACACTAATAATACAAAGATCGCACAAGAAAAATAAAGGTTCAAGTCCAACATGGTCGACGATACTTTTTATGTGTATTCGATCTTATTGTGATACTTACTACTTAACTTATTGTAAACGGAATTTTTAGGCACTTTCCAGAACATCATGACCAGAACCAATTTAGAAAAGTTTATTTCCCAAATTGGTCCTACCGGGAATCGGACCCGGTACCTCCACGTCCAGCGCCCATAATGTAAACCGTTAGGGCGCATTTATTCGCCACGAATTTCAACGCGCTCACCCCGCGCGGTCGAGGAGCGGAGTCCGCGTTGCCGCCGCGCAGCGACTGCGTGCGTCTAACTGTCATGGCAAAATACGCTCTATTTGTTTAGCCTTTACGTTTTAACTTAAATGAGTGTACCGGACACGCGGGCAAATCTGGCTTGAATCTGGTCTACGCGGCGGCCGCGTGATTGTATTATTCAGAGGAATTTAAATGTTGCTGCCTAGTAAATTGAATTTAGATTTACCATTATTGTACATGAAGACATGGTAAGTGAATGGTCACCGCGCGGCGGTCGCGCGAAAACTCGCCGCAATGTTTATGTAAATATAACATCTATTCCAGTTGCCCTTGTTCAACGGCTGGGCTCACCACGATCTAGAAAATGTGCACAGACTCCCACTGTCTGTAGCTCTGATTTTGGCTCTGTTATTTATAACTTACATCTTTGTATGCATTTACTATGTGCGACGCAGAAGCCAACGGGAGCGACAACAGCTACCTTATGCACAGTGAGTACTAATAATAATATAAGTCATCTAATCAGATACCTAGGATCCATTGGTTAATATTACAAACTTTTTAACAGCCTCTGAGTTATATGCTCCATGCTACTAACAAATAGCATGGAGCATATAACTCAGAGGATTGCTAATTTCCATAATAGAGATTGTTGTTTTGAAAAAAAGGTCAAAATCCTGTCTTATACATAGATTAATAATACCTGGAAGAATATAAGAATTCAGTTTTTTTCCATGTAATATTATTCAAATATTGATCATGAGTTAAAATTATTTTCTGGACTTTGCCAAGAATGCGTGTCAATAGATGGCGTAGTGTGGTACATTAATTAACGCTTCCTAATATGGATCGATGGCGCTAAACTTAAACAAAATAAAAGAGTAGCCGGAGTATTCATAAAAATATATAGATTTTAAGACTTTCGTGGTTATTCACTAAATATCGGGAAAATAAAAAGAAGTTATACCGTGGTAAGAAACCTGTTACTAGTGATAATCATTCATAAAAATATGTGTCATAAGCGCCATCTAGTTGATTTGTTTGTAATCACTAGAAATTAGAGTTGCCTTGATAAAGTGCAGTTGGTCAATTATTTACAAAAATAGCTGTTTGGTAAATACCCGACTAAGTAGCTAAATATCCGACTCGCTGCCTTGTACTACGATTAACAGTCCTCTAGAATTATTTGTCCATGGTATTATAAACATCTTAAGAGCTTTGCTTATTGTTAGAAGTAATAGTAATAAAAATGGACTTAATAAATACACTATACGATCATGTAACCAGTCAATGACTATATGCTCGTATACATACACCGATGTACGGTTTATATGTCTGTGTATGGGGGCATCGGGTTTACACGCAAACACCTCCAAAATGCTGTTGGCGCTGGTCCGCTACCTGCTCATCAGCGAGGCAGCACTCTTACGAACACTGTTGACGCTACAGAAGCAGGGCAGCCCCAACTGTGCTCGGTTTTTAAGTACTTTAAATCACAGGCTGCTCGTATAGGAGATTTGGCAGTCGACTTGAGTCAGCGGCTCAGCGGTGGCAACCGTTAGTCGTGCGGAGCGCGACGGGAATTGAGCGTGCCTACAGTTCCTATACTAATCTGGAAAATAGGGAGTGTGCTATATGTGGATCCCGGGAGGTTCACCTAAGGCACTAGCCTTACAGAGAACCGGATGAAGTCCGTGCAAACGTGCTGATCCGAGGTTGGGACCTGATTTAGATGGTCCCTGTGCGTGTTCATTTGCACAGGTCATAGTGCCGTTCGGAGGGAGAGTCACTATAATCAAAAGTAATGTAGAAAGATGAGGCTGCGCGTATAGGTAGAAACTCCGACAGTACTTTTTGAATAGCTTGATTGAAACGAAGTCAAAAACTTTGTTCTATTACATTTCAGAGTGCACTTCCAAAACACCCTGGCAGAATCTGAAGGAACTACTCCGTTAAGCATTTCAGAAATGTCGCCTGGCTCCAGCGGTTTAGAAATGCCGCCCACTGGGTATGTAGACACCTGCAGTAGATTTATTAATACTATTAAATATATATTACAGATATATTGTATAAATACCGCAGTACCTTACCCGAAAAACATTTGAGAACTAGCTTTGATGAACCTGCACTCTGTTGGTATAAAGCGGCAAAATGTGGCGCTCATTAATTTTTTTTATTCCTGTACTTAATCTGTCAATTATAATTTCATAAACGACATCATAAAGGCGTTCTTTTTAGTTCTGAATTAAAACTCAATTACTTAAGGTCTCGCCACTGAGCTGAAAAATTTCATTAAAGTTTTGTACACGGAACCATAATGAATATTATAGTACTGTTGAACCTTCATATTCTGCAGGTAACCGCCTTCGATATCCTTGTGAAATAGAACTCCTTAATCATGTGAAGTGGACTGTATATTCATAGAAACTTATGTCGATCTGACTTACAATCATGAACACGTCTACTACTAAGAGCGCAAGAAAACGATTAATCCAAGAATCTAATTAAACTGATAATCGCTTATATTTAAACCGGTACGGTGTCTCCCACACCGTACCGGTCCTATCAATGGGTTGCTACGCCGCTCGGCCAATCAGAGCTCCTGAATTGTTCATTTTCCTGTGAATTCTAGCTCTGACCGGCCAGGCGCGTACGGCTTCTTCACATAATTAAGGAGTTTCATTTCACAAGGATATCGAAGGCGGTTACCTGAAGAATATGAAGGTTCAACAAGTACTGTACACAGAACTATAATGAGTTTCAAAAAAAGAACGTCAAATTTTTGCTAATTAAATTAGGACGCTATTCAAACGATATACTGCCTGCTGATGAGGTGAATTCGCCTAAAAGTCTTGCAACCGATGATTGGTTAAAATATATGCGGCACTTGGTCAGTTCTATTCCATCTCTTTGGTTTTTGTTTTGTAGCATTTGTTTGGCTTTCATATAAATATATGAAGACGCCGTATGATGGCCTTTTTCTTACCGTAGTACATGGGTTAAAATTTATTTAAAAAAAATTAAATGTTCAATAAATATACATTACTTATTGGTTCTATTTCATAATTTTATTTATTTGTAGAAAAAGTATTTTATGCAATCATTACATAATTAGGTCTTAAAATCTCGTATCTACTCGTACTCGTACACGTATCTTAACGTACTTTAAGAATCCTGATATTGAACGATTGCATATAATACTATTATGATATTACCTGTAGCAGAGACGTCGAAACCAATTGAAAAGTCAAAAAAGAAAGGGTGCTATTATATCTATTCATGAAGGTAAACTTTCTAGAGTATCTCCCTATCACAAAAACACCAAATTCCACCGAGATGATTATAGAAAAACCAAAGCGTTTCTTGTGCACCCCGGTTTAAAGTTGCCACTCGATTATTGTAACCAATGCCTAATGCAATAACTGCCTCAGTGGCCGAACGGTTACCATGCCGGGCTGCCATGCACAGGTCCCAGGTTAGATTCCCGGGTCGAGAGACATATTTGTATGGCCTACATTTATTTCTCTCGTGAGTTTGAGTGTAATTTGTGGTTTTCTATGTGTGTGTCCATGGCACCCGCGACACAGGGTTTTCCCTAGTGCGGGGCTATGTTGAGTGTGTGCGTTATTATTATTAAATGGAACGCTCAGCCTTATTTTAGAATAGCGATGTATAAAATGAATATTCTTTGTTTATATTTAAGGTCTAGAAGACAGGAGTTTACTAATCCCTTGCAGTTCATGAGAGACGTCTGGCAAAAGTCGGTCCGAAAACAAAATCGCCCCATTGTAAGTATCTACAACTATAAATGAATGTGGCGCTATAAACCTCACCGGTTTTGACCCATTCATGCCTGTGAATTCCAAACCACCTGGGTTATTTTTTCCCGTAATTCATCTATATCATTATGTTCCTAAATTTTTTGTCTCAAGGCAAGATAATACATTCAACGCCCACCAACACAAAAAATACGTATCTGTTATATTAACACAAAAAAATCACAAGGAAAGAAATGTATATGTGTAGTGTAGTTTAAATAGACAGTTCAGGTTTTTTTTTTTCAAATTTGGTGGCACTCCCTGGACAACATCAACGCCCCCCAATTACTTCCGATGCCGATGTTTGTGTGCGTTATTTATTATGTCTCATGGATCACATTGTTATCAAACCTACTTAGGGATCATTAGAAAGCGTTATTGTTTAACTGTATCTTGGTCCTTAGCGCTAATAATTAATAATAAACTTTTTAAACCGACTACATAATTTGTTTATAAAAACTGATCAAATATTTTACAGCGTTGTCTATTGGCATAATATTGAACTATTGATTATTATAATACAGTTTAACCTTTATTTTTTCCATTTTTAAATGAGTTTAACACATTTTTTTAATACAGTTTTCTAGTTTAAGTTGTCAAGAAATAAGAAAACTGTTCTAATCTTAGACTTTTTTTCCATCCTCTAAGGTTTTAATAAAGAATACAATAATTAAATAATTAATACGTCCATGAAATATAGCCTGTATAAACGTATGTCAAAACGTCATGACGTCAAGTCAAGTTTCGATGATTTTAATGGCGTTATCAATGTTATCGTCTAATTAAACGGCATAATGTACGAAGTGGTAATACATCACATAAAACAGACAAATTAAATATATAAATGAAAACATGTTCCTAATTCACCTGATAGAATGCCGAGCAGCTTTATTTGATTGATTATTGCCTCTCCCCATCGGAAACTGCGTCTTTTCCGAGTCGAGGCGTATAATTGCGCTTCACAACTGGCAGATCGGAAACTTTTAACATTTCTAATCGGAACAATAGTTGATTTAACTCACAAATTAGAAAAATATAATAGGAATCAGGTTCATCTTCTCGCTCAGAAACCCATCTGATTTCGAGACTACCCGATCGAATCGATTTCTATTTGAATCAAAATCAGGGCTCAGGGCAGGGCGTTTACTCCCGATTGCTTCCGACATCCCTCCGAAACAATTACTGTCAGATTCAAATAAATAATACTCGTCGACCAGAAATAGAGACGAAATAAGGGCCCTACATTCCTGGTAACTCATCAGTGATACATTACTTATAAATATCAACTCTCGTTTGCACTAAAGTATAGACAGGCCAACAACTGACCTATGTGTACGTATACGTATATTCTAAAAATATTCTGTATTTATTGTAATAAAGATAATATCTCTAACAATGGCGTGCTGTTCCAGTCGGTGGTGTGGGGAAAAACAGCAAAACATGTAATTACAAAAGAAACAGAATCAAATTTCATCGGTAATTAAATGTAATTTTGCAATTTTCGTCCATTATTACAAAGCTCTAGTTAACTGACCGAATTAAAGTGAAACAATTGACGACACGGACCGAATTGTTTCAAATTCGGGCTGGCCAATCGGAGCGCAGTTGTCACAGTAATGATAGTATGGCAGAATAATTTTCAAACAAATTAAATTACATTTCGTCTCTATTTCTGGTTATATACTCGATGGTAATACTCGACCAAATTAAGAACCAGTAGGTACAGAGTACTAAAAAAAACCGACCTCAAATTTCATTATCACCTAGTTTGCCACCCTTAGAGGTGGAATATTTTCTTCAAATTCAAATGAGATCATTTCCGAGGTAACCTCGTTCCAACAAAAAAGAATCGTCGAAATCGGTTCACAAATTACGGAGTTATTGCGTAACATACATAAAAAAACAGTCGAATTGTGAATTTCCTCCTTTTTTTTCAAGTCGGTTAAAAAGAAGCTTGATGCGAATGAAGCTTCGTACTTGACATTGTCTTTTGTCGTTTGGTCGAGTATTACTTATTTGACAGTAATTGTTTCGGACAGTTCTGTGCCGTACCAATATAAAAATTAACAATTTTTGTTCCTTGCAGGGCACAGCTGGGTTGGAGATAGTCGTGCCGCCACTCGATGTGTCTGACACGGAGTCCGATATTGATGACAGGGATAGGGCGTCCATTGTCGGGAAAAAAGGAAAGAAATAAATTATATTTCTTGAAAAAACGTGAAAGATGTCTTCCCCCTGTCGCCGAGCCGAGAAATTAGAATATTATACGCATAATTTATACCGATGAGTCTAAACATTAGATTCGCCAAGTCTGATTAAATTTGTATTAATTAAGTACCTACCTGAACGAATTCATGAAAAAAAAATCAAGATGTTCCACATAAAATGTCCATACTCCCTCATGTAGTATTAACTGTTAAGTTGCCTTTTTTGCTTTCATGGAAAAGCACTTCACTCTAACCTCTTTAATTTACATGAAGAGGATTTAAAAGTTTTGCATTTATAATTGTTTTTCATGTCACAATTAAAGCAGATGTCAAAATAGCACTTATATACCGCCCACTAGAACTTGAATGTAGGGCGGGCAGCTTCAAAGTAGCTTTATACAATTACTCGCGGGCTGTATAAGATGCTTTAATTAAATAGAAATAAGTTTGAAGTCAGGTTCGGTAGAACTTAATATAATTTTTTTACCATTTTTCAATGATTTATTATGTTGATTTCATATGTGAATGAATACAATAAGTTTTACCCATAATGTATTACTATTTTGTGAAGTAAGTAATAAGGTGTGCTTTTAAATATAATTGTGTAATTTAGGATTAATAAGTTGATAAGTATTAGTTATGATAAAGCATAATTAATCACTGTTTAACTGTCTCTAATGAATTTGTATTTCATTAAATAAATTTGAATAAACGTCTTTTATGTATGAAGATTATATTATTTCACAGACTTATTTTACTGCATTAAAAATACAGAGGAAATAATAAAAGAAAACAGACAATTTATTAGAAAAAAAAAGGTATATTTTAATTAATTTTCTAAAAACAAGCAGTATTTTAAAATGTAAAGAATATGCAAGTTATTTCCAGAGTTTCTTAATAGACATATTTTTCTCAGAATCTTTCTGCATTACTTTAGCTACGGCCATTTCAAAGTCCTCCTGCGTGACATGGACACGACGTTCACGGAGAGCGTACATTCCTGCTTCTGTGCAGACGCCTTTAACTTCTGCACCAGAAGCACCAGGCATCAACTCTGCAATCTTACGGAGGTTGATTCCTCTAGTTAGATTCATTTTTCTGGAGTGAATTTTCAAAATGTCCAATCGAGCTTCTTCATTTGGTGGAGGGAACTCAATCTTCCTATCAATACGTCCAGGTCTCAACAATGCTGGATCCAAGATATCAATTCTGTTTGTTGCCATGATGACTTTTATATTTTTTGTAGCCTCGAAGCCATCCAGTTGGTTAAGTAACTCCAACATAGTTCTTTGTACTTCGGAGTCACCACCGCTACCAGATTCAATACGAGATGATCCAATAGAATCAATTTCGTCCATGAAAATGATAGACGGAGCATGTTCTCTAGCCATTACAAAGAGTTCTCGCACCATGCGACTGCCTTCACCAATAAACTTCTGCACCAACTCAGAGCCAGATACACGAATAAATGTACACTCTGTATGATGAGCTACAGCTCTGGCAAGCAGTGTCTTGCCAGTGCCCGGAGGCCCGTACAAAAGTACTCCTTTAGGTTGAGCTATGCCAAGTGCATCAAACAACTCGGGATGTTTAACAGGTAGTTCAATTACCTCCTTAATCTCCTTGATTTGCTTATCCAAGCCTCCTACCATCTCATAAGTTGAGTCTGGAACCTTCTCGACCATCATAAGAGATACTAATGGATCGACTTTGTTGGGCAGGATTTTGTGAAGAGTGTAGCTCTCGTTTCGCAGTGCGACGCGGCAGTTGGCTGTTACATCGTTAATATCGACGTTCTTATCGAGGTCTACTACGAACTTGCCCTCAGGATGAACCTTGACAAGCACTTTTTTCTTGTCCATAGGTTTTACAACTTCGCCCACGTAAGAACCCTGCTCCTGTAGCAACTGGAGCTCCTCCCGCAGCATGCGTACTTTCGCGTTCAGCTCATTTCTTTGGGCCTGTAGACGACGAAGATTTTGAGATTTTTCGGCCACGATGAGTTGTAATTCTTCAATCTTTGTGATGTAGTATGGCCTAAAGCCCTCTCCCTTCGCGTTATCCACCTCCATCTTCGTTAAAGTCATGATGGAGGATTTTTGTATCACATGAACTTTTTCAATAAAAGCTTATTATCGAAAATTATTAGATCGGCACAAAACCACACAGCATTTGTTTCTAATGGCAGCCAGCTGTCAAAATTTATCCAAGTCACGCAGTGAGCGACATGTGAAATTATAAAAATACTACTATAAACAATATTATACATTTCATTATATGACATAATGAAAATTATGATTGATTTATTTTATTGCTACTAAAGACATTTGCTAAATAATTTGTAAAGGCATTAAATTAATTTTTCTAGGCTCATTTAGAACGGCTGGAGTTGACGAATTAAAAACACATGCGGACGGCATTTATTGACAACTATAAAATATATTTTTTTAAGGCAATACTTATTGCCATTGATTAGTGTTCGGATTCGCTCTGGACCTTTTGGAGGGAAAAGTGTTTTTATTTTGACTTTCAATTATTTTGTGAAATCTAGTTTAAAGTGGAATAGGATAGTGCTATTGTGCCTTAATCGAAGATTAAAACTCGAAATTATACGAATCTCGAACTAAAATACCCGTATCGGCCCGTTCTAAAGAATCCCGAGTCAATCCAAGCACGCCGCCGCCTCAAATTGCCTATCCTCTTTGTGGCGGCCATATTTACAGAAAAACTTATTTTTATGTTTTTGGCTGAAGGACTTTGTTTCCATAGCCAGAAATAAATTAATAAAAAAATAAAAAAATTGATTAGTGTTCCTTTGTCAAAATTACTGCAGCGTTCACAAATTTTTATTAAATTTTATGTAAAAACTTTTACGCATTTTTGATTCTGTAAAGCACATCAGATTTGAAAAATATTTTTCTGATGTATGTAGTGCTTAGAGGATGGAAAAAAAATGGAAGAAGTGTCCAAAAACGTAGTGCTTAAATTCTCTTTGTGTCCAAAGACTGTGGTGACAATGTCTTCTTTAAGTCAACATTTGTAAAGTAAAATAACCATAATAATAACCAAATTAATATACAAATAAACTCATCATCATGTAATATTCAGTGTAAAGCAAAACAACAATTAAAACCTTATTCGTCCAGTATGAATGTTGCAAGAGATTGCTTAATAGCTATTAGCACATTTATATTTCTGAGCCACATATTTTATAGAATAATATGGTTAATTCGTCTAGTCACTTTAACGCATTGGTGCTATCTCTTGTATTCGTATTCTGGAAATCCACACACGACTCATAAATACAATATTGTTTTTTATGTCACATTGTTGGCCGCAGGAGTTATTCCCAGCATTTATTATCCATCGTTACGAAACTACGTTACTATTTTGAGTATGCTTCCACAACTACATTTGTTACTACTTTTGCATGACGTCTACTGTAATATTAAAAATCGCTCAACCGCTATTCTGACTCCGCTAATGAAGATCTTGAATCTTTACACTGCAGTGAGTCTTGTGTCTGTTGTTTGGACGATTATAAACGTTATAAAACCAACATTTAAAATTTAAAAGATCCGCAAGTAAATTTAATATGTATCTACTTTTTACATAATTAATAAGTACGTAACAAAGAACAACAATGTCTGCAAGTTCTGTCAGTAATTTAAATAAAGCAATTAAGCCCGCTACCGCTAGTCCGGGAAGTGATAAAGATGTGAGTGCGAAAAAAGTTGTAGTAACCGCTGCTCTCGTTTTATTCACAGTGTATATAATTATACATTTTCTTTGGCTATTTCGACTTGGAACCTTGGCACATTGGAGTTATTTAGTCGGTGTCACAATATATCCTGAAAACTCTAAATATAGCATGTGGCTCAGCGCAAGTCTGTTCCTGTTCATATCAATAGGCTCTTTAATACCGCATTTTTTGTGTCCGCGACTGAAGAATTTAGCTCTGGCATTAAGTGTACCACCGCAACTACACATGTTGCTTTTGTTAAACAAATTACACAAAAATTTAGAGCAGTATTTTTCATCATCTAAAACAATTACAACAATTATTGTCAGAATTTACACTTTAACGACTTTAACTTCAGCCGTATGGACGATTTTCAATATATTTCTGTGACATTAGTCTTTTGTTTATTTTATTTTATTTCATCTTCTATTAATAATTTTGTCGGTAAAATAATGAAAGCCGTTAACTTAAGAAAGAGAAGCTATTGACATGTTTTTGAATTATTGTATCTGAATACGTGTGAACCACAATAGGTAACGGCTGAGTGGATTTTTCTAAAGAACCTACCAATGATATGAGCTAAAACAGGCTCTAGGTAGTTTATATGCAAAAATATTTATTGTATCTATTTACATGAACGTTGATAAAAATGAGGTGAAATAATCATTTCGAACCTTTTTTTCGGGAAATTACTCATTGCTAATAGTTTAGCTGGAAACCATCAAGTCGAGACGAGTCGTCTTTGCTGGTGTCTATCGAGAGTCAACCTGCCAACACTCATGAAGATACCGGGTGGCCGTTTCCTGACTCCTCAGAGGCATTGACGGACAAAGGGAAATGCCAGCACCAAAATAAAAGCACCAGCACTTAGGTTATCCATGGTCATGAAAGGAGTAGACCAATCAATAGCACCAGAGGTGTCAGTTTTAGAGGAGGAATTGCACAATCAACCCAGCAACGGTGACGGCAAGCTTCTTGACTTACTTCAAAGATATTTCAGAGCGCACAAGAGTACAGAGAATATACATACGGTGTGTATAAAGTTCTGAATATAATTTAGGGAAGACTGATTGCTAATAATAGACGAATGACAGAATGACATTGAGAACCGCATTCAGAGCCTACAGGAACCATGGCGTACGCGCCTTATGAGGTCACCACCATACCAGCGACATACAACTGCGTCGACAGGTGTAACCTGTTACTACGATAACGTTTATACGGAAGGTTACAAGTTTTTATAGAAGTTCGGCCGGAACATAATTTCCCATTTCACTTCTCATGCTTTCTCATTAAATGTTTTTTATTTTGATGTTTTGATTTCCCAGTTTTTCCTTATTACGAATTGTAAGTGTTTTATTTTTTCCATTGAAATGTATTGGTTGCTAGACATGAGCGCCGGGCCCGCGCGCCGCCCCGCCACCGCGTTTTTCCTCGCGCCGCGCCGCCGCCGACAAATGCAATCGGCGCGCCGTTCAGATCGATCAGGCGCTCCGATCGTACGCGCGCGCACGCTTCCGTATTGTGTATGTGAGTGGCCCGCCAGAAATGGCGAAGCCAGAAAATGACTTTTCTAAGATAAAACTTATTTTTTTTATAAAATGTAAGTTCGCATTTGACCTTCATCTCACCTGATGGAAAGTGACGATGAGGTCGACGATAGATGAATGCCTATTCACTTTTGCCATGAAAAGGTCCAAGTTATAACGTGCAGGGAACTAGTCTGCAGGCAGGGAATAACACTCCATAGCCGTTCGCCATATAAATGTGGAAGCGTAACGCTTCGTGCGAATCTTTGGAATATCCACAACATAGAGGTGGAACCCAAATCTACGCCTAGTCCCCCGGTGATGGAAAGGGGAAAGCGGAATTAAATCATGTAATTCCATCGCACACTCTCCATGATATATCCTGTAAAATACCGATAAGCTGGCAACTTTACGGCGGTGTTCAAGGCTCTGCAGCTTCGCCTCCACTAATTTCGAGCCACCTCTTCTTGGCACGGTTGTCAATTGAATAAAAGGTAGCCAGATGGTATGTAACAGAGCCATAAAAGGTAGCAATAGTACACCATTCACGATCGGACTTGTGCTTAGTACAGCTGAAGCAACTGTCCCTATCTACCGATCCGAGATGTCACTAACTACCGACCCGTGAGACAGGGTTTTCCGGAGAGACTACGGGTTCGACGGCAAGACCAGGATACAGCGGGCGCCCGGGCCAAGCCCTCCGCCAGTGATACGCCTTTGCTGGCGTTCCTGACGGACCCGGACTTGGGTATGGACTCGCTGGGGCTTGTGGTTAGCTGCAGAGACGGACATGTTTGTCTGCCCCGGTTTTGCATGTGTCCGGGTCGTCTGTCTCGTGAGCAGCTAGCGCGTCTTAGTGGCGGTCTAGTCCTGTATGCGAGGAGATGCGCGGGGCACGTGAGTTGCCTTTTAAGTTGGGAGTTATGTCCGGACATTGTCGAAGGACACTGCGACTGGCATCTCCGGTACTAGCCCGGAGAGCTAGTAGAGGATAAGCTAGATATCCTCCGGTCCCTCCAGCCGCTTATGAGCTAAAACAGGCTCTAGGTAGTTTATATGCTAATAAACTGCCTCCATGGCCGAACGGTTACCATGCCGGACTGCCACGCAGAGGTCCCAGGTCCGATTCCCGGGACGGGAGAAATATTTGTATGGCCTACATTTATTTCTCTCGTGAGTTTGGGTGTAATTTGTGATTGTCTATGTGTGTATCCATGGCACCCGCGACACAGGGTTTCCCTAGTATAGCCCCGCACTAGGGAATTGAGTGTGTGCGTTATTATTATTATTATTATTACTATGCAAAAATATTTATTGTATCTATTTATATGAACGTTGGGAAGTGAGCTGTTCTGTTATAATTAATTAAGTAAAACTCCACTTAAATCTTCTAATCTTTATTTCGATCAGCTCCGTACAAGCACAAGAGAGGAGAGAGTCTATATTACGCGGGCTGTCAATATCACCGACGTCATAGGGATGTCCCTACTACAACATCCTTTCTCTACAGTTAATCACTAACAAAGAAATAGTTCTTATTTCCTAACACAACATCCTTTCTCTGCTAATCTGCCTAAAATAATATATATATATAAATGTTTGTATAGCCTATATTTACTTCTCTCGTGAGTTTGGGTGTAATTTGTGGTTGTCTATGTATGTGTTCTTGGCACCTGCGACACAGGATTTCCCTAGTGCGGGGCTATGTTGAGTGTGTGCGTTATTATTATTTCTCTATAATTTCTAATCATTAACAATCAAGTAATTCTTATTTACTAACACATAACATAATCTTTACACCAACTCGGTTTAGTTCTTATTCTACTTGAACATCTATGACTATTTAGAGGCCTTTCCATACTTTTATGAATTACCTCAGTATTATTTTGCCCTGCAAAATCTTCTTCATTTTCTAA